TCATCCACGAAGAGGGCATCCGCGGGTGACCAGCCCCGGGAGGGAGCCTAAGCTGAGCTTCCAGGGTTCAAGCTTTTAGGTGGGTTAGGGTGCTTTTAGGTTTTTGCGGTTTTAGGGTTTAGGGCCTAGAGGGGCTTGCGGAATGAGAGGAGGATTCGTGGGGCTCATCAGGGGTGTTGCGACTGCCAAGCTTAGGCCGGCACTAACATGAGGTCGGCCTCAGACAGTGCACCACGCATTGTAATGTTTCGATTTCCGATTGCACGTCCCCGGTTCTTCGTGATGCAGTTCTGGATAATTATGTCAATTCATCTATTGGGACTCCTGCCGCTGACAGAGCAATCACAGACATCTGGCCGCTTACAGGATGCGACTCCTGGCTGGCAACTCGCTCAGACCCGCGCGATGAGCCTCGCACACAGCGCAAGTGCGAGAGACGCGCAGAGCAGTCAAGACTCGAACGTTCAGATCGAGTTCTGTAACGAGAGGTGACAAAAACAATGCAACTTTTCCAGCCCGGGAACGTCAGTTTCTTGCAGTGACTCAGCGACGCCGTTCAATGAAAGTTTGGTTTTTAATGTTCACCGCGTGTGAGTGCGCAATCTCCACCTGCGTTGATAGTTCCAGGCCGCCAGGCCCGAAGCACTGAATCGCTGTATCGGTGAGGGCATGCAAGGGGGGCACCGGAACGGTGTATCGGCGGACCGACATGCCGATGCGCCGACCAGGGTGAAAGCGTGGAGCGGTCAGCATAGTTGCTGAAACGATGCGCTTGTGCGACGCTTTTTTGCCACTACGCTGCAACATCACAAAGTTTGTGGACACCGAAGCCTGAAGCTTGCACAGGGTTCAATTTCTGTGTCATTTGAGCGGACTCCGTACGTCTCAGGAGCTCCAAACTCCTTTGCGCCAGAAGCCCAGTTTGCTTCAGAGTCGGTCTCTGCCCTCAAAGGTGCATGCTCGGGATTGCTGGAATGTGGGTGCCGTTGGCGAGATGACCAGGGACCCACCACCGAAGCGGGTAAGCGGGGTAGGGGCCTTCCTTTCACGAAGCCACGCTCCTGCAATGCTCTGGAATCTTGTCCAAACACCTTGGCTGGCTCAGCATTTTGAGCACGTGTCTTGGAGTCATTGAGTCAGTCAAGCAATGGCAGGCAATTGCCAAAAGGCTTCCCTGAGACCCAGTCATTCTCAGGCTTGAAAAACTGCTCGAGTCCCACGGCCTGCACATCTTCGGTTTTATATGGTTTTGTATGGCTTTATATGGTTTCTATATGGCTTTATATGGTTTTAGATGGCTTTATATGGTTTTATACAGTTTTATGCGGTTTTATGTGGTGTCGCTTCAGCGCTCTGATGGCCCCTTGGCTGTCCTGGAGGTGCGGTAGGATGCAGGTGTCCCGGAAGCCAATGGATACAATGAACCTTGCAAAGAAGGCGCTGGCCCTCCAAACAAGCAATGCTTTCTGCCCAGGTCTGATGCCTACTGATCATTTGCGGATTCAAACGTGAACATTGGCGCTTCTTTTGCCGGGCCGCAGCTCGCAACCCATCTTTGTGAGCTCCTGAGCGGATGCTTCGTCTTGCTCTCAGGATGCTCGTGCGTCGTATGGATCGCGAGCAATGCGTCGGAAGCGGCCTCGAAGAGCTGCCTCATGCGCGCCAACCGTGGCCGGCCACCGAAGTTAGCCAAGATCTCCTCTTTGAGCAATGCTTCCCGCTATCCAATCTTGCAGGTGAGGGTCCCCTCTTACATCCATCATGCATCTCTGCGACTTCTCTCAGTCTAAACTCCGACAGTCCTGCGGCGTCATGGACGCGAAGATCTCTGGGCTATCAGCCACTGCATGCCTCATGTCCACAACATGTTCACAAGCAAGAGATGAGGGACGGATGCGGCCAGGTTGCCGATGGAATCGAGGTAGCTTGATGGGCGTTGTCCTCGACAAAAGCAAGTTGTGCAACATCATGTTGCTGTCCTTTTGCTGTCATTGCACAGGTGTCAGCTTCTTGAATCAAAGAGGCATGGTTGAATCGAAATCGAAGAAGATGCCACGCTTCATGGCCAAGATTCTGCATGAAAACGGTGGTAGAGATGGGGCACACAAAAGCTCGGTTTGTGCTCGATGTTATGGCAGGGGTCTGGGCCGTTCAGAAGACTACCTGGTGCCTTATCAGAACACGGGCTGGGTCCTTGCTGCAGAGTCATGAACGCTCCGAGCTGAAACACATCTGTGCACAGCAACATGCAAGTGATGCAGCTTGTCATATCTGCAGCAACTTTGGAAGTTTTTGAATGCGGCCCACGAGCACCACGAAGAAGATCGAGTTTCTGAGCGGCTTACTGCCCTGCTTTGCAGGCAACCTGATCTAAATGCTACGCCAGCCCAGGTGTTGTTTTGGGCTGTTCCTGTGAGACGCATTAACACCGTGCGCATGAATTCACCTACACCTACACCTAAGCTTCAGCGGACAGGGATCGTCCATTCAAGAAATCGATTGCTGACTGTGCTGCGACAAGAGGGTTTCGCAGCCTCTGCAAACTTGGTTCTTAAAGAGCACTTGCGTTTTCTCTTTGTTTGGCAATATGTGTTTGGTTCTGGAGTTCTGGATGGTTCCCGAAAGTTCATCTCTCCATGTTCCGACTTCTGCACCTCCAGGAGACTGCGGAGCCGCTCTCACTCCTGAGGACTCTCCTGCAGAGCATGGTGCATGGTGAACCACCATGACAAGCAGTTCCTCTTGTCAGATTCCTTGTTTCACTGCGTGTGGGAGCGCTTGGGACCGCGTTGGGCTGCACACGACATGCCCTGAACTCTTTCAGGCTCCGCGAAAGCAGTCCTCCCCCACTCCGTCCCCCAGCTTCGGCAGCGGGGCGTCGCCGGCGTTCTTGCGCGCCTCACGCCGGAGTGGCTCTCGACTCTCGTGCTTTCCTGATATGCGCTTGAACATCCTTAAACAGTGCAGAGATGGCACCTGCTCCAGCTCAGAACTCAGCATCTGCACCACCTGCAGATTAGGTCCCGTGCAGGATCATGTTAACATCTAGCAGCTGGTCAAAGTTGCCGTCAGAATCTTTGAACAAACTTTGGCCCAACAGTGCGCGACCGTACTACGTCAGAAGATATCTGAATCTTCTCGGCGGCCGAACCAAGTGGGATGCCAAACATACTCACTCTCAACACTGCTGAAGCCTAGAGCAATCAACCTGGTATAACTCGAAGGTGTTGATGCTTGTGGCACTCTTGGGCAGGCAGTGGCCGTTTAAGCCGCGGAGCTTCTGATCCCCCCGCCTTCTTCAGGCGTGCAACTTCTTGGCTATCAGAGTTCTTCTCCACCTGAGTGGGGGGGGGGGAGAATCTCCGGACCTTTCTTGAAATCCCAAGATCCCGTTTTGGTTCACTCTACACACCACGCTGGCGCGCCTTGTTGACGATGTTCTTGGCCCTCACGGCATAAGCCAACCTCGGGGCTTCGACAAGTCTCCAAATTCGAAGGTCCAGTTGGGTGCGCTTCTTTGTGCTTCGCGAAGCACGGCGTAGGCGTTGCAAATGGTACCTACTAGTCATTACTAGTCATCCCGTGGAAGAATGACGGACAGTCCTGCCAACCTCCAAGATTCGACGAAGATGAGGTCGGCACGCTGCACCTGTCTCATCGAGGTTCCCGGAGGCCGGCGAGCAGTTGACGAACATCTGCGCAGAAAGCACAGGGCATTGCGCAGCTTCGGTTTTTGCCAGGCTGGGGTGTTCTGTGGGTATTCTCGGCCCTCCCTGCGTGCCAGCGTCTTGGCGTTGCCGCCCAGCGAGTCGCTCAAGAGCTGCCTGAAAGAATTGGAACCAGGAAAAGTGTGAGTGACTCGGTGCCATGGATCTTGAGCATCACCGTACGTCACTTCAAAAGCTGCGCATGGCCATGAAGTTGTCACCAGCTTCTCTCTGCAGCCCGAAACGCCTCTCTCAAGGTGAGATCGTCTGAGGCATTGGCGTGAGCCGGTGGTTTCGGTAAGGCACGTGCTTGGCCTGCTTTGTCAAAGCCTCCAGGGTAGGACGACTAGGTGCTCAATTGGCGCTCAGAAGGTTTGCAAAGGCACTCCCCAGTTGCACACACAATGCTTGCAGGATGTGTCTGGAAAAGATTCTTATATGCTTTTAGTGCAAGTTCTCTTTCTGGGCATGAGCCCCCCCCTCCAGTTGCAAACACGATGCTCGCTGGAAAATTTGGAACGGATGTTTGTAGTTTTAAGCAAGTTTTCTTGTCTGCGCATGGCGGAGGTGCTTTCTTTTATGTATGACAAAAAAGCGAAGGGGGGGGAGGGGGGTTGGGGGGGCGCACCCCCTCAATCGCAAACACAAGGGTTCGTATGCTGCTGATGCAAGTTTAACGGAACAAATTCTGGTGTTGTTTTTGTTAGATTTGTATGTTCTTAATGCCTCTTTAAATGCGAGTGGGCCCTCCCTCCATTTGTCAACACAAAGCTCGCAGGACGGGTTTGGGAAGGGCATGCATGTGAGTAATGCAAGCTCCCTTATGGCATGATCTTCTTTATTAAGAAGTAAGCGGGGGGTTGGGGAAGGGGGGGGGGGGGGTGGGGCAGCCCCCCCCAGTTGCAAACACAATGCTCGCAGGAAGGCTTTTTGCAAAGGATTTTTCTTTAAAACGTATTATTTTTTTGCAGACGAGATCTGAACAAAAAACGGCGTTTGCACCGTGACCTTTTGCAACCTGGCAACGCTAAAAACTGCCGTTCTAAGGGAATAGCAGATGCCGCACAAGAAAACGTAAGCAACATCCAATTCACGAATTCGACGCGCTGAGCAGCTCCTGGAATGTGCCAAGCCCCAAAAGTACGTGCATGCGCACTCCAAACGACGTTTGCACAGCTTCTACCCCATGGCAAACCAACCCATCTCCCTCAAAATAAGTCTTGGGGCATCCCATGGTCTTCGCGAAACCGTGGCCGTGCTGCTTTGCTGCTTTCATGTCGTTCGCCCGGGACATGAGCCCTACCAGCCCTACGAGCACTTTGAGTCTGGACTACACCTGCCTCGATCACATCGCCAAGTGCCGTCAACCTGGCAAGGGCAAGCAACGGTGATTCCATCGGCGTGCGTGACTTCGAGGCACTCCCAGGAGCCGGCTACTACTGCATTGTTCCAAGCGTGAGTATGTTGATTGAGAGTCCAGAACGCTAGCTTTGTGTCGTCTCCCGGTCTTGCCCTCTTGCCTTTTCCTTTGATTGACAACTTTACAACAGCACAGGCCGACAGGGGCCAGTATGCTAAGACCCAGGCGACTTGTTGATGGATTGAGCCTGCACGGCCGTGATGAGTTGAACGAAACACTGTCAGCTCATCAACGGCAAGAAGCCCAGTTTCTCTGAACTCTTATATATATATATATATGTATATATATATATAGATATGTGTATAGATATATACATATAAAACGATTCTTTATATGCATCTCGGCTGGGTCCTGAGGCAGAACAGTTTGAGCCGCTGCTCCTCTACACACAAAGCTGCTTGCACAACAAACGTTTGGTCATCTTGAAAACGTGGCCCGGCTGCCCCCGCAACTGCCTGCCCCCGCAAGTGGCACGGTTGGGTGCGAATTCCCCTACGGCTGCGTCCGTCGAGTTCCACTTTCAAACGAAGCTCCCATGGCCCTTTTGTGGGATCTGCTTGGGGTCCGTCTCCAGGGTCCCACCCAGCCAGGTCCCCAAGAGTGTTGAGAACGGTCCCAGAAGCTTCAGGTCCAAATGCATTTGGAATGTTGAACGCTATGAAGGTGAACACCTTGCTTGACAGAGGTCTCTGATGCACGTCAGTGTCTAACAGAGATTCTGCGCCTCTTACTTCTTTGTTCCGAACCAGAACATTGTGCAATCCTGTTCCCCAGTAGCAATATCTTTAGATGCCCTGAGGTCAAATGCCCATTGAAGCCTGGTTAACCGACCAATCTTGGCTTACTCGCTCGGACACGACTACAGGAGCGAGACAAGGAACACTGTGAGGTTGCTCGCTTCCATGATCACGTAACGGAGCCCACATTGATCACAGACCAAGCTTCTCGCCTCTTCGATCGACTCACTTGTCACTTGCCCATGGACTCCTCAAACCCCCCCTTCTCCGGATAACGTGCGCAAACGGCTGCAATTCGTCAGCAGGTCTGTTATTGCACACGTCCGACAATTTGCAAAGAGTACGGTTTCCATAGCAAGACAGCGGGCTTGGCCGAAGCTTTTGGGAGTCCTTGCAGTGAGCCTTAATGAGGATCAAGAGAACATGAAGGTACTTCCAGGCCTCCTTCATCTGCTCACCCGTGACCTCACTCTTCTTGAGACGTTCGGAGCCTGGTCACGAAGTCAGGGGCTTTGTACCCACCCCCCCCCCCCCCCCCCAAACAAAAAACAAAACTACGGCCCTAAGTTGGGCCTGCAAGGTCACAAAGCGTGAGCTTTCCGGTGGAGACCTGCATGGAATCACGTGAAAACACTGGCTTGCAAACTACGTGATGACAATCTTACTGACTTACTGAGATATAGGCTTGGGTACGATGCCGACGTCACACTTTAGCACAAGCAGATGTGCAGCGACGGTTCTGCGACCCCTGATTCCCTGTCAGGACGTGCGTGATCCGGGACCGCCAGGAACCGCCCACCCACAAGAAGCACGGACCAAAAACATTTGCAGCACAGCCCCTGCATTCTCAACCAACCTACCGACCTAACACCCAAAAATTGGAAAACCCTCACGCCTTCAAGTCCTCCTAGCAGCTCTAGTCACCAGCAAAAAGCAATCAAGGTGGGTCGGAAATGAACAAAGGGCCTTCTTCCCTGTGACCCTGATCGAGTAAAGAGCGACACGAGACCGCGCCACGCTTCACTCGCACCCAATCGCGCGCCCCGAAAGCCCTCACCCCAGAAACCCGCATATGAACCGACAGGAAACGCGGCTCACTAAGGTTTACTGAGGGGGTGTTTGTTCCTTCATTGAAAGAGGCCCTCAGGTCTCAAGATGTCGAATTCAACATCGAGGGGCGCCCGACAAACAAGAGTTTCAAATTGCAGAATGCGAGAACTGCGCAGCCCTCCTGCTTCGACTTCTTGTTCAAGGACTCGATGGTGACGATGAAGATCAGGTGCGACCTGGCATCTCATGGCTTGTGACCTTTCAGGCCTCTACAGCAGTGTACCGAGATGTTGGAGTCGAACTTTTCATGACCCCAAAAAGCTCCACGTATCGAATCCCGACCTCGAGGAGTCTGCGTTCATCTTCGTAGCCGCGACCTTTGCTCCAATCGAGTGTGCTCATTGGTCTTCTCGTCTGTCTCTGGCCGAAGAAACGACTTCAGCGTGTCACTCCTGTTATTCAGGTCGCCGTGGAGTCTTCCAAGATGTCCCACACAAAAAACTCCCTCAGATCTGTTCTTCCTTGGGGACACCACGTGCCGGCGATCCATGCCCATGGCGATGGTTTTCTGAAGTTCTTCTGGGCTGGTCACCTGAAGAGCAAGGAGGGGCTCAGTCGGCCCGGCTAAGTCGCTTGAGGGTTTTCTGGCAGGCAACTTGCCGTGCCCTTGCAGTCTGTGACGTCTGCCCACCTCGATCTCGACGGCATTCTCTACCTCCAGTGTGCCATAGGCACGTGGCGAAAGAAAGGAGGCACAAGGGCTTCTGCAAAACGAAAAGGCACGAGAAAGAAATGAAAAAGAAACAACAACGTGAACAACGTGAGACCATGGCTTGGCCAAGAGAAGGCTCAATCCGGCGCCTTCACGGTCCCTCGGGGATCCTTCTTGATGTCCAGGACCGGAGGCACTTTGCCCTGAGGCTTTGATCCCAAGGCTATCATTTGGTCAGTTCTCAAGAATCAGGCCCCTTTTTGGGCTACCCTAAATAAGGGGCCGCCTTATAATCAGGATCGCCAAAGGGAAAATAGTTTGGAGAAGTGACCATACGTTCTCCCCCCCCCCCCCCAACTCCCCCATTTCAGTGCTATAGGCTAGAGTAGCCCTGAACACGGCAATGCACCTTGCCCTTTGTGAACAGCAAGTCCACCAGGTCATCGCGGTAGAGCCTTTGCAGCAGCGAAGCCGAAGCCTGACAGCCTGCCTGGACTCTCCCCTCTCGGAACTCGGGTCCCGGCTCGAACATCGAGCAGAGGACTTTCGACTCGCACTCGTGGGCGTACCGCCCTTCAGCGAACAGAGCAGCTCACACAATCCTCGAGCCCACTGTGGGCTCAACATGGTTCAACCCTGCCACAGCAGAACACCTAGTGCTCTTGCGGTTGACGGTGAAGAAGAAGGGGGGGGAGGAATTCTCATCCTTTGAGAAACCGGGAATCTGCAAAACCTGACAAGGTCCCTGTGCAAAGACAGAGAAGAACAGATTCGTCAACTGCAGGGTAAATAACATGATATGACGTCATATAAGACAAGACAGTATGTGCATTGAACACATGCATGTTACGATATGTAGATATGCTCTGTGCACTCCGAGGACTGCACTCAGCACCGCGAAGAGCTCCTGTTAGCCAGAGGCTGTGGAGAGATCGGGAAGCGTGCGAAGCCGCGATCTCAGAGCGCTGTGCTCCGCTCTGAACACCAACACTATGCTGAACTCTTGGCATGGTTCAATGGCCATAAAGGCGGGTGGGTGATAGTGGCTGTAGCTGCGATTCCTAATTCGTGCTCTCCTTATCCTTGACTCGTGACAGCCTCTTTAGCCACCCTCCTTGAGGTCAGAGGGGACGGTTCTTGCTGGAACCAAGGTCACTAGAAACTTCGCATCCTCTTTCCAAGTGAAGCCCCGTCCTCTGCAGCTCGTGGAACCAAACCAGGCATGGCCTCTGCTCTGAAGACAACTCATATAACTCATGGTTCAAGGGGCAAGGAACCTACGCCGCCAGCTTTCGGGTCTGCTGCACAAGTTCCCTCTGAGCTTATGGCCTCATTCCCATACCTTCAGAACAGCGTGGGGCTTAGACAGCGCAAAAGCAAGCATCACTCCAGCAAGAATTAAGACCAATCAATACCAAATAGGCCAAAGCACATGGTGTGCGTCTTCCCGGCGCCCGTTTGCCCGTACGCGAACCTGAGGACTGGAGCGACGGGATGATACATTGCGAAGTCGTAAAGAAAACGCTGCTACGGGTGCTCACGGTGCTCACTCTCTGGGACCTGTCGAAGCATGGCTCTGCATGCGCGAGGCGTCAACGCCAAGATCGCGGCACAGTGACATTGAAGCCATCAACGGCTGAGCCAATCAAACCGCGGCAGTCAGCAAACACGTCCTCTTGCGTGTTGTGCCTGGCTGCAACAACATTGCATGCACGTGGGGTCCGCAACTGATTGATGACTGCACAGAAACATTGGTACACATGGAACCACAGCGAACATGCTTCATGTATGCGGATGCTCAATGACGCAAAATGTGCTTGTACCAGCAAAAGGACGTAAGAAATCTCTGCCAGCTTGGCTCATCAAACACGGCATCGAAGTTGTAGTCCTGGCTAAAAGCCATGTCTAGGCGCAAGACCCACAGCCAAACTGGTCAAGACGGCCCTCTCATTCATGCGTCCATATGCGTCCTAGCTTGTTGCAGCATCTTGTTCCTTGATGTCTTCTGGGTCTTGAAATCGCCCCTGCCTTGGCAGTTGATTTCTTGTCTTTCGCGGCACACTCCAGCGAGAAGGCGTCCCGTCTCCAGACGGAGATCTGCCAGGTGGAGCTGGTCATAGGCAGCTTTGTGTACATAAGTTGTGGCTACACCAGCCCATGAACCTTACCGTAGACATGGCTCTATATATATATATATTTATATATTTATATATACATATATATATATATATATATCTACAGAAATAGAAATAGATATATGAGGCAAGGGCAGTGGTCTGGTATGATCTCAGAAGTCATACGCATTTCTGTGCTGCAAGACTGCCTCTTGATCAGCTTCTCGAGAAACCTTGGGACCTGAGTGATGAAGACCGGACACATCGGCTACCTTTGATGTACAATGCAGGGGAGTTTAGGGTTTAGGGTTTAGGGTTTAGGGTTTAGGGTTTAGGGTTTAGGGTTTAGGGTTTAGGGTTTAGGGTTTCGGGAGGCCCCTCATTACAACACATGCTCGTCCCTACACCGAAACCGCAGGACAGTGCGAAAGTGTGGTCCCTTCACGAGTGCGGCACGTATTCTTGCAAACACACGAATGGCGCCTTTCATGTCCTGCAGGACTGTCCAGGAAAAAACTCACGAGTAAAGTGGCAAATACTGAATACTATCTATCAGAACTGAACTTCGACCTGCATCTGGTTGTGGTATCGCTTTCGGAGAGCTTGCTCCTGGCTGCTCAGGCTGTCCAGGCACCGACATGAACGGGCAAGCTCCGACCGATGAGCGTCCTTCTGGAAGGCTTCATGGATTTCTTCCGTCCGCTTCTTCCAGGGCTCAAGCCTTGGACAAGCCGGGGCGCTGCGCTCCCTGCGCCCGCACTCCGCACGCAATCTCAAGGCCCCTGCATCTGCTCCGCCTGCTCTGCCCGCTCCCGCACGCCACTGAGCTCCGTCACCTGCAACGCGGAGCAAATATGAGGGCAATTGAGCGCGTGCATGCAACCTGTATGTGCAGGGCCTGGCCAGTCAACTGCTCAGTGTCTTCTTCGAGCTTCTGGATGGTCAGCTCCTGCACACATGGAGAACGCTGCGCCTGAAGCAGTGTCAGGTCACCCCCCCAAGCATAGCAAAACTGCTCTTCGTCGTTGCCGGTCTTGAATGAAGTTTCTTCTAAGTCCTTCTCCTTCAGCTGGCCTTCAAGCTCCACCTGGTCAGAACTGATGTGAGCAGTACATCTCTGTGCACGCTATGCTCCTTCGAGCCGCCTCCGGTCAAGTTGAATGCTTCCCCAGAATCGAATGTCATGAACCCTTGGTTATCACCCTTTTGTTTCATGCCTCTCTGTTCTGCCTCTCTGTTCTCCAATTTTCAGTATGACTCGTTGAGCTCCACCCTCCCTGGGAATCCCGCCTCTCTCTCCTGCAGTTGCATTTGCGCAGCTCCCAGCCTGAGGGCGTCTCTCAAGATGCAAGCTGCACAGTCGGAATTCGGAACCCCTGACCCTGCTGACTGGGATCAGAGATGTATTGACTATCTCACTATCCTTGACTCAAAGTTCCAAGGAAACTCCAAAACTCGAAGCTCCCTTGGCCAGCGACTCCTGGCTGGTCTTGCTCTGCTGTTCGCGGAGCTCCTGCTCGGCGCACTCTCACCCCACCGTAGCTGGGCACGTGCTTGGGACGTGTGCGGGGCATGCCCGGCTCCTTGTGCTGCGCTCGTAGCTCGGTGAGGTTCTTCCTGACTTTCGAGAGACTCGTGTTGCTGCACAGGCCACAGGGCCGTAGCATGGGACAAAGTTGCAACTATGCACAGCAGGATGCAGTGATTTCAAAAACAATAACATGGCAACGTCGGGAACGAAGAAGGAGACGCAACAAGAAGAAGCATCTTCACAGGTGCCAACAACATCGTGAGGGGGTCCAGAACCCGCAAAGTTTGTGTCCAATTCTCCCGGACCAAGGCAAGCTTAGGAGGCTGAACGCGAGAAAGCACCTCGAGGCGAAAAGGTCCATGACGGTTGCAACAGATTGCAGATTGTTGCAAGGTAATGGTACTTGTAGATTGCGGTAGATTCCCCTCACCTCCTTGACCTCCTCTGTTCCTCGCATCTCTGGCTCCCAACCGGGTCATACCTTGTCCAAAGGTCCCGCCTACGTGTTGGCTGGCTGTGTCCATGTCAGTCTAAATCCTGTAGCCGGGGTCGTCTCACGGCTATCACTGTCACATGCAAGGTCCGTGGTTTCGGATGCTTGTCGGCACTCATCCTAAGTGGATGAAGGCCAGCGCCGTGCTTCTTGAGTTTGGCGGCATGCGAAACATTCTGCATCACGCTTTGAGTGCAGAAGCCTGACACCCTGCGAGTTACCTCGAGACTCACGATGCACGAGACCTTGGCATCTACTTGGGAGTGCTTGTTATCCCACCCTCAATTCCTTTCCAATTCCACGCATCCAAGTGTCCACATCTCTTCTTTCTCGCTGGCCTCGGACCGCATGTGTCGGTACGCACTCTTTCTGCCGCGCTTCTGCAATGCCCCTAATGAAAGAACAACCTCACGGAACCGCTGTCCGGCGTGAATGCGCACCTGAAGAAGTAAGCAGAACCGCGCCTGCCGCTCGAGCTCGGCGTTCAGCCGCTGTATCTCAGCCTTGCGACTCAGCACATCGGCCTGGTGCGTGGGTTGCTTCGGCTGCTTGTTGACTCTGACACATTGACAAAGCCCAAGCATTGCCCAAAGCATTGCCCAGCCTCTTTTTGAGACAGCTCGACGGCTCGCTCCTGATGCGGGTCTCGCCATGCAGTGTGGGGATCTTAGCTTCCCCCTCACCCCTCCGACCTCTCCCCCCCACCCCACCCCGTGTCCTCCAGATCTTTGCCGGAGCGGTCCGCTTGGGACTTCATCGCTTGTAGCTCAGCCGAGAGGCCTCGAAGCTTTGCAGGAGCAGCTTTCCTCCCCTGTGGCATCTTGACATACCATGACATACCGCTACCATTCTGTGACCGTGTTTGAAGACTTTGACTCCAAAACGCTAGCTCTCGTAGCCGGGGCACGCTCGAGCTCAGCATCTTTGGCTTGCAAGGCCTCGAGGGCCTCCACGATTGAGCTCTTTAAGCAGAACGCTTCCGAAACGGCTCAAGCCCTTGACCAAAAGGGCGTCCCAGCACTTCAAAGGGCCCCATGGGGCCATCGTGGACCATCGTTGCCTCTTGCTCGGCCTGCGCTTTGGCTTGAAGCTCTGCATCCTGGCCATGAGTGTCAGAAGTGACTCAGAGTGAGAAAGAGTGCTAAAATTCCCCTCAGAGCATCCCCGCAGGGCGCCTTCTGGCTCAGGGCTTCTTCTTTGGCGAAGAGCGCAGCCTGCACTCTTTTCATGCCAAAGGCCCCATTCTCCCTCCCCCCGGTGACTGTGGCGAAAGTGGGGCTTTCTAGCATCCAGGGGGTATACCGCCCACCTGAAGTTTGATGATTAATGATTCAAAATTCACAGATTTCGTGGAGCCGTGGTGGGATCATGTTGTTACTCTCCATATCTCTCTCCATCACCCATCAAGGTCCCAACGTCTTTCTGGCTGAGCTCGTCCGACTTCTGCGTCAGCTCAGCCGCTTGATCGGCCTCTCACGATTCTCAGGACTTCAACGTTCGCCGCAAAGTGGGCAGCAGGGCAGTGCACCAGAAGCAACTGTATTTTTGCAAGCCATTTATGTAAGCTTGCAAGAGGTGTGGGTGTTGCAGAGCTGTACGGCAAGCTAACTTCTCTATCACTATGTACTTGATGCTGACTGTGTCCATGCGAACAGACGACCGTCGACTAGGCCTGGCGGGTCACGGCAGAAGATGGGCGGGAGACGTCCTGGATTCCGAGATTCTGAAGTACAGTGGCACTGCACTGCATGGTGCCTTATTCTGGTTTGTCTTGCGTGGCTCTCAGGGTCTTCTTCTCTCCAAAACCCTGAAGGTGCTCTCAGCAAGACACCAAAGCCACCCATCCCTTCTCCATGCTTCTCCTTGACCGCAGTTCGCTCGAAGGCTTCGTTGCGTTCTGCCGTGAGGCGCTTCACGGCAGCCTCGGAAACTCCAGTGGCAGCCCTGAAAACAACTCATGGGCCAAGAAGCTAGCTCTCCACTCCAAACAAAGCACTTCAAAGCACCCCTCCCACACTCAACCCTGAACCCTGAACCCTAAACCCTGAACCCTAAACCCTGAACCCTAAACCCTAAACCCTAAACCCTAAACCCTAAACCCTAAACCCTAACCCTAAACCTTACTCAGATCTACTCCGCGCCTCTGCACGCTCCTGCTTCTCCGCAGCTTCCTCGAGCTGCCGCAACAAGGACTCTCGCTCCTGGGTGCAGGTGGAGTGTTGTCCCAACTTAATTAGGTTCTTTTTATCCCTAAAACCCTAAACCCTAAAACCCTAAACCCTAAACCCTAAACCCTAAAACCGGCCTTCATTATGGGGGGAACTTAGGGGGGGGGGGTAGTATAGAGGGGGGTAGGAGGCGAACCCATGACATGACAAGCTGTCCTGCAGCCAGCTTTCCCGATCTCTGCCTCAGCGACTTTTTACAGGCAGACATGGCACCCTCACCAGCCTTCTCTCGGAAAGTGTGGATGAGGTCCCCATGCTTCTAGCCTTCGGACTTCGGCTTCTCTCGGCTTAGGCAAGGGCCAAGATCTTCTTGCCTCTGGCGGAGCTCACCCATCTCCTTCCAGCGCTTGCTACTCCCTCGGGCCTCTCTGAGCTGGGGATTTCCGAAATTAGGGGGGGTACCTTCTCGGGGTCCTGATGAAAAGGGAGTCCTATTTGGGGATCCTATTTTCGTAAACCCCCAACTGTCTCAACTCTCTGCTTTTTGTCCTTCTCCATGTCGTCACGGACGGCCTGGAAAGCCTCGTCGCATGCGGTAGGCAGCCCTTCTTTGGCATGCGGGTTCGCCAACACCGGAGATCTTGGTCCACGCCTCTGCTCCAGGAACCTCCGTGACGCTGAGTCGTGCACCTTTTGAGTTCCACCCTTGCTTTTTTCCACCATTCTTGTAATGGGCATGACATGAAGAAGACAATTCTACTCTCTTCAGTTTGGCAGCGTGCGCCTGACGTGTTTCAGGGTTCACTGATCAGAATCGCAAGTACTACAAGACTTCCTCAGCCATCAGTTCTCACGGGGCTCATGCTTTTCAGCCGCTCCATGGTTGACCTGCTCTGGTCAAGCAGTCCTGCAGGGACGTCATGGCAAAATCATGGTGAGAAAGTGCCCGCGGGACTGTGTCCTTGAAGGTGGCGGATATTTGCCCGAGCCCTGGGAACAACGGCATAAACGGGCTCGCATCAGCAGGATTCTTGCCGGATCTTCAGGCGATCTTGAGGGTGACTGACGGCCGCTGTATGTCACTGTGCACCCAAGTCGCTCATCAAGCTCCTTCTGAATCCTCTTGTTCTCCTGGGACAGGCGCGCGTTCTCCTGCGGAAGCTTCTTGCAGTAGCAGGCTCGCCGATTTCACGAGACTCTCAGGCGCTCTCCACTTCCACTCTTCCAGAGTAAGAAACCTGAACAAGATATCCCTGTTGCCGTGTTGCCCTCCAATCTCTCAAAGGCGGTGTGCTCTGAAGTGCTCACAGCTCATGACTCATGCCAGCACAACCTCTTCAATTCAACCTTGCCCCACCCGGCAAGACAACGAACGGAGCTTGGGGCACTGATCTCTTATGTCGGAGAGCTTTGGTTTCGGAATGCAACTCAAAAGTCGCCGGTGTGCATTCGCCCCAAGTTTGGCAGGCCTCGTCTTCTTCTACCATGCGAGCACTATCACCGTCCATCGACTTTCCATCCGCTGATGGCGCCCTTGTCCCAAATCTTCTACTTTGTCGACTGGAGGTGCAGCAACTTGGCCACGACACCATTCAACCTGGTCTCCACCGCCGCTGCTTCTTTTGATCTCTCTTGTCCTGTCTCTTCGGGGTCTGGGGGGCCTCAAGAGACCCCCGTGGCGCAGGTGCGCGCCCAGATCCAGTCTTGATGTGAGACTCTCGCTCTCGCTCTCGCTCTCTGCCTCTCTAAAGTTTGGCCAACACCGAGACATCCAATGGACAAGCGCTGGACGTCCTCCGTCAACTGCATGTCTTGTCCAGCATACCTGGCTGGTCCGAATAGATTAATGGGCCGGGCTGCTTTGCGTGGCCAATCTCTTGGCCGCCAGGCGCTATTCCACAACATCGTCACTACGCAACAGACCCCCAAAGTCCATAATACCAAACTCTTAAGATTGCATGTTCAACGATTTCTTCGCTGCCCCTTGAGAACACCACAACGGCTCTAACAGGTAAACGTTCTTTGGTTATTTCCTTGCAAATCTCTCGGCGCACTGTGAGCTCGCCCTGGCCCTCGCCGTGGGGGATGACGGCGCCAATCCGTCGCTTCCTGAGGTTCCAAGGAAGGGGTGCGAATCTGGACTTGCCACGAGCTCCGGGTGACCCACCAAAAGCCACATCCCACAAGCCCCCAAGGTCCTGCCCCTACAAGAACCCAGAATCACGTACGAGTACATGTTTCGAGTGCGCGCGTCTGCGAGCGACACAAACCCTGTACTGTACCTGTACCTGGCCCCAAACGCACCCCCCCCCCGCCCCAAGCACAAGGTGCCCTGGCACCGGGTCCACCAAACACGCGCTTTGCTTCTTGTTTGTTGAGCCTGTTCGATGGTGTAAGCCCCAATCATATATTCGCGGAACGGATCCCTGAAACAACTCTGAAAGACCATCGGATTTGCGCAGCAATTTTTGCCGGAAAGCAACAAACCTTCTGCCCCAATAGGAACCCTCACATCACCACAAACCAGACATGTGGAGACTGGCAGTGGACTGGCTGATTGCAGCAACATGGCTACGAGGTGCCAAACATGTCCCAACCCTTCCACCTTGCCTGCCGTTCTCTCCCTTTCAATGGCCTGTCGATCGCTGCAAGGCAAAGGCAAAGGCAAGGAACGGCTCGTCCCTTTAACGGCCGTCTTAAGAACCCTTTGTTCAACAGCCCGAGACCCTGGCCTTGAGCGACATGGAGCCTGATGCGAAGTCTTCCACCTCCCCCTGTCACAGAATGCATTGGCAGTCTACTTCAACCCTGTGTGCGGGTCCATTGCGGCAGTATCATCACGATTTGTGGGCCGAGCTGCTTTAAAATTCTTTCACTTGCTCGTGCTCCAAGCACCTTTCTCTACATGATGGTGCTGGCAAAGTGTATAAGCTTTCTGCTGCAATGGGGGGCGGGGGGGGGACTGTTCTCGTCTCTCGGGAAAACTTGTTGACCACCTTCCATTTGGTCTGAAACGTGTACCGCCCCCCGTCGGCGGACGGTGCCCGAAGAGCAGCTGGCAGTCGTGATCGCTCGCAGGGGATCGACAGCAAATCTGGGTTCCTGTCTGTTCGCCACACCTCCTGCCTGAAGGCCACAACTGCTTGCAGCATGCTGCAAACAACGAAGCACCAAAATTGTGAGCACCGTGTATTCCAGTTGGAAGTTTTGCTCTTTGATCTTCCTTGGCCGCTGGGGCTCAGCGACTTGTTCTGCCTGGTTCATCCCTAAAAACGAGTACGATCGTAGTGATGTCGTTCCCACATCTGCATCTTCGTACCGACGAGCCCTCCGTAATGCTGCGTTTTGCCCTGGCATCGCTTCGGGCCAATCAGCCGAAGTGACGAGGTTACTGCTCGGCCCTGAGCCGTCGAACTGGAGTACGTTGAAGTGTACTTTCTGATTTCTGCCACATTCAACAGCATTCCGGCACGAGACGCGAGGAAACCATGCGTTCTCTTCAGCTCGCACAAGTTCTGACACGAATGAACATCCTCAAACCTACAGCAACCCTCTCACTTCACGTCCACGTGTCATGCACCTCGTCCGCTGCGTTGAGCAGATCTTGCGCAGTGACCTGATGGTCTTCACCTCGCGCACCCCTCAGCCCTAAACCCTAAATCCTAAATCCTAAACCCTAAACCGGCTCTTTGTCTCGACTCCCTGGGCGGGAAAGCTCTGTGGTTTCCATTCCTCTTGTCTGAGCCAGCTGCTTTCAGACTCCAGGAACTCGATAACGGAGCTGCGAGCGCCTCTGCAAAACATTACACACATGTATCTATATGTGTATCTAATAATCTAATGCTATTACTTTAACTTAGATACCATATACACTACGAAAACCATAAATGCATAAAAAACAAACAAATAAATAAATAAATATATATATATATATATATGCTCCCCGCCACTAGATCCATGGTTTTATGTCTCATCTCTATAGTTTCATGAGATATGCTCGCCCCCCGCCAAGATCCGCATCCGAATGTCTGATATCAAGTTAAAGTTTAAACGTTTATGGTTGAAGATTTAAGCATGTAAAAATAAGCCAGCAAGTAAACCTAAACCCTTAACTGTTAAACCCTATGGGGTCAAGGATTAAAGGTTTAAGATTGAAGATTTAAGCATTGTAACCTAAGCCCATAGAATTTAAACTTCAGGGTTTAAGGTTTAGGCAGCTCAAATCTGGATGAGTTGGTAATCTGCGTACTCAATCATATATGTATGAGTTGGTAATCTGGTACTCAATCTTGGCTGGAAAGAGTCTTTGTCGCGCAACATATTGCTGATGATAAGCATTAAGTTTGCTTATAAACCCGGGAGAAGGGTCTTCCAACATAGCCAGGACCCCTGAACAGCCGCCCCCCCCCCCCCCCCCCCCCCCCCCCCCCCCCCCCCCCACCTTTCGCTCCTCTTATCCCCTAGCGGTTCGCCCTGATCACATCGGCTACCCCCCCCCCCCCCCATTTTTGAGTGTTGTCGAGCCCGTTGTCAGGCTTCCAGAGGTGAGTTGGGAAGCCAGCTTCACACTCTCCACATCCGTGCTTATTTTCGGAAGCCGCCCAGAGGGGCATGTTTTAGTCTTGTAAACTTAAATTCTAGTTAGGTTTTATCCTGAATGAGGCTTAGCAGGGATGTATTTCTTCTAGGTGTGGCCTCTGACTAGCGTTCTAAGCAAATTCAACTACAAACAAAGCCCAGATGAGGATTTCTTCGGATGCGGCTCTAGAGTATACAAGCAAAATCTCATTGCGAATAGGGGCCAGAGCAGGATATGGCATTCAATATACGAGTATAATCTTAATCAGATGTAATCCTGAGTGAGGCCCATATAGAAGAGCATGTCTTCGGCTGTTGCCTGTTAATGTACTTGTTATCTTGGGTTCATTCCGAACGAAGCCCATAAGAAAGAGGAGTTCATCGGGTGTAGCCTTCAAATATAAAACTCTAAGTAGTTTTACTCAATTACGAATGAGGCCCAGAAGAGTAAATCTTTGCGCGTGGCCTCACAATCTAGGATTATGTCCAAAATTTGTCTGGACGTGTTGTACTGTCCCAATTCTGGGAGTCGTTCGTTACTTGTGATCAGCCAAGAATAATCCTCCTCTAAAAGCCGCACCCTGAAAAACCCAAAACCCTAAACCCTAAACCATGTGGTTCTATTTGCAGTTCAGGTGGGAACTCGAATGTTAGATTTAAAAACCACACACTGGACACTCACTCACCCTAAGAAATCCTCATCTGGGCTTCTCCCAGGACCTCCGAAACCCCCCTAAAAACGCCGATTCTATGTGCTTGAACGTTTGCATGCCCACGAAACACCGAAAAGCAAGACCCCGAAGGCCCTTAAGGGCATTCGGGGTCTTGCTTTTCGGGTGTTTTGTGGGCATGATGCCGTTCGAGCGCGTAAACGAGCGAGTTTAGGGGTGTTTTTACGCGCACCCACAAATCACTCGATACTTACGAGGTTTCCTCCTCTTGGAACCCCCCCAAAAAAAACATCATGAATCATGAGCAGCAGCTAGGTCTGGGCCGCGGGCCCGGAGGCCTCACGAAGCCACCGGAGAAGCGATGGCTCGATGATGCCCCCGGACCCGCGCGCATCCGATGATGCTCACTTTTTGAAGTCGGGTCAAGGGCAACAAGGGTGGGGGTCGGAGGCACACGTGCAAAACCTCATAAAAACACGGTACTTGCAGCGATTTCAGCGTTTTGCAGCCTTTTTTGCTGCCGCCGTCAATACGACGAATTAGAATGTTAAATTACAAGGCCACGCCCTAGGACATTATCACACTTGGGTTTCGTTCAGCCCCACGTCTGGTAAGAGGTTATATGAAGCGGCCATACCCAAAGCTGTCCTCTTTTGCTCTTCAGATTCACATTTCAGCCTAATTCGAGATTGAAATTAACAGCCCATACCCTAGGAGATCTTCCTCGGAGAAATCCTCTGAGCTCATTCGAAACAAAGTTTAGCTAGGAATCTAATTTCAACGGCCACACTGTCATGAATCCTGGTCTGAGCCTCGTTCGCGTTTATGTTTGCCTTCATGTTCGAATGAAAATGCAACAAACACATTATGAGATCCTCTTCTCTTAATCCCTGTTCCCCTAGGAAGAAAAAAGGATCCTTTTTGTTCATATATAAGAAAGCCCATAACCCAAAAAGTATAAAGGATCCCTAACACTGATCGAGTTCTGGGGCCTGTTGGTCACAAAGTATCATTAGATTTTCGTTTAGTTTCAGTGGCTACAGCCTCAGCACCCCTCATCTGGGCTTGCTGCGTATTCCATTGAAAACAGCATTTTATGCAAGAAGCCCACACGCTCAAAAATTCTCATCTGGGCTTCGTTCCTTCGCCCCAAAGCAAACAACAAAAAAACACTTTGGCAACTTCCACAGCTGTGAGCGCCCAAAAGAATGGGACAGTTCAGCGTTTTGTATTTTTGAGGTCTGGGGCAGCAAAAATGTTTACTGTCCCAATCTTCTTGCTTCCAAGCCCCAAAAAAGCTTGAAACACTATGACATTGTTGACGTCCCTGGTAGCCGAGATTCTGTACTGTCCCAAAAGCCCCATCCCAAAGAGCAAAAGTGCTTAGGCCCGCCAGCTGGTAGAGCCATGGAGGTTCAAAAAGACTGCTATTTTTTGAGGCTTCTGTTTGGGGCAGTGCAGCACTCTTTTCTCTTTTGGACAGGTTTTTGGGACAGTATGGCACTTTCGAATCTGGAGCAGCAAAAGTGCCAATCTTCCTGCTTGCAGACCGCAAAAAGTTTGGGGCAGTGCAGCACTTTTGAGGTCAAGGGTGCTTGCATGTGGAAGACAAGAAACAGTATGGATCTTGGGGCGGGGGGAGTACCACTCGATAGACATATATTCTACATTTATTGCGGTTGCCCGTGCTATGGCATGTTCTTGCGGCTTGCTAGGATCTCCATTTTTCGATCTAAACCAACTGAGATGCGAAGAAGGCTGGTCAAGCCTGCCATCCGTGCCACAGCTGCGGGTGTGTGACCATGGTGGTCCCTGCGGGCATGGAGCTATAAGAACTTGTTTATGCATCTTGGCATTTGCATGTCTCATGTGAAGCCACTGATTTTGTGCCTTGCATCCAGCTTGGCACCGTAGGCACACAGCAGCAGCGTTGCCTTTGCCTGCCGAGCGCAGGAATTCGTACAGTTCTTGAATCTTACACAAGTTCGCAGTTTGTCACCCAGCCATGAAGGAACTGATGTTGATTCGTGGGCCATAAGCTGCCTAAAGCCGAATCAACCCCGGAACAACATAAACTCCTTTCGACGCTGCGCAGAAACGGCCGCCTCTCGCAACTCGAGCCGTTCAAGGCCGGCATAGGCCACGGCGACCTCGTGCCACACTCACAGAAGCCTTGAAGCTGCGCCTAGACAAAAATGAGATGGGGCGGGGATGAAGTTGCAGGAGCGTCGGAATGGCCGGAAGCTCTAATTCCGCGCCATGTCTGTGAATGATTCTGCATGGAACGCGTGGTGCACAGGGACAGACATGCTGGCCTGATTTCATTGCTGAACCTGCTGTTGGCACGCTTCTCAAAGCAGTCGGGATGCATGCAGTGGAACCACGCCGAAATTGTTTGCGGCCGAAGCATCTGCGCCTGGAGACCAATGCGACAGCAGAATCAGCGTAAGACCCACGAATCGCATATTGCAACCGGCTCCCAGTCTCGAGGCTGCTCATCCCTCTGGCAGAACTGTGCAATCACCCGTAGGGAGCGACTTCCACAACTCTGAAAACAGCTCCGCGCCTGCTTTCAAGAGCAGCTCGATGGTCTCCAGCTGTTGGAAGCAGTTTGCAAAGTGCAGCGGGGTGTCCTGCGGCGATCACAGCGCTCAACCAACTGCCAAGCAACCTAACACGGACACATACGGACGGTTCAGTTTATGAAGAGATGTCCTGGTCTGCTGTCCGTGCTGCGATGTTCGCGCGGCTGGACATCAGCACTTCACAAAGGTCAGTGCTGGAGGTAGCGGAGATGTGGAGCCTCAGTCTTGCTATCGACAACTCGAGGTATTCTTTAGTGGGCTGAGCCCTGTACATCGTCCATACACATATATCAGGATGTCAGGAAGAAGCGTGATACAGGAGCTCCGGGGGACCAGCGATCGCAGCTGATGCACCTGAGTTTTGCCATTTAGGGTGTTTACTCAGCCCTGTGGTTCATGGTCGCTAAAGGGCTTATCGTTCAGGGTTGTCCGGTTAGGTTTCCTGTCCCTGCGGTTCGTGGAGGGCTTAGGGTTTGAGCTTTGGGTTCAGGGTTGAGGTTTAGGTTTCAGGTTTCCCTCTACCCCTGTGGTTCGTGGTGGGCTTAGGCTTTAGGGTTTAGGGGTTTAAGCTCAGGCTTTCCCCTCTCTCTCCGTGGTTCCTGGTGGGTTTAGGGTTCATGGTCAGGGCATGCCAGGGCTTGGAAGAATCCGGACACGGATAGACTTCAAGGTCCCGCACAGCTCAGGCCTTCATCCTAGATGCTCTCAGTCAGAAGAGCATGAATGAGTGGTCGTTGACTTGCATGCAACGCGCGCACAAGGTTCGTTTCGAATATTCTTCTCGGACACATCGGAAGAGTGCCTCCAGTGCCTCCATTTGGCTCTTTCTTCACATTTCTTCACATCAGAGACCATCTGCGACTTCTAAGGCTCCGGGCCGTATTGATATCCGGATCAATGTCGTACCCCAACAAGAGCTCCGCTACCTGACCCAATGAGGCAAGTGTCGCGGAAGTGCCGCAAATCAAAACGAAAATGTGCACATGTACATATATGATTATATATATATATGCATATATATATATATTATATATATAATTGCTCCTGACGTGGAAAAGGAGGCGATGTGAGGCAAGACAAAGTTGACGGCGGTTTAGGGATTGAAAGGTTGTCAAGTCCCCCATGTCTGGCTTTGGAGACCTCGGCATGGCTGCAGATGGCAGCGATGTGTAGCGGAGTCAGATCGCCCTTCCTTTGGTGCCTCACAGCGAATCATGACGGAAAGCGCCTGCTCCCAAACTTTCAGAGCTTGACACTGCGATAGCCCAGCAGCTTTCTCACTCAGATGCATCCCTGCATGAGCCTTAAGACTTCCTTGTCTGAGAGCTGCGCCAGTCCTGAACGGCTTTCTTTGAGCCGTTGGCCACAGCCTGAGCCACGAGTAAACATTGGTTCTCGGAATGCGCTGCGCTCATTGTCGAGGCTTGCGTAGTACTGGTATGTACTGGTCACAAGCTTGACCCAGGAAGGAGAATTGTGAAACTTCGCAAACATGGCTGGAATGACTTTGCAGAACCGTATCAACACACAAGTGAAACTCGAGTTCGCCAGATACAGCTCTCAACCCTCGACACCCGAAGCACTGATGGCATCTGGTGGTGAGCCTGCACCGCCGACAGGGATCCCTCCCAGCAAGCGATGTGCAGAGCACTCCTGGCGCCGTAGCCTTTGGGAGGCAAGCTCTTGGCTCAAATCTCTTGTGGCATGGGTACAAGATGGTACAAGGGACTGCTCTCCATATGCAGGACAGGAGCCACTTGTGAGGAGCTCCAGGAGATATGTTGCAAGGATCCTCAGCGGATTGCCGTCGGAGCGCCCGCACGAACTCTGGGGGCGGGAAAGGAGTCAGAGGAGGAAAGGAGTCAGAGCTCATGAGCCCCAGCAGGACGTTGTTCTGTGGTTGGGGCATGGAATTCTGCACTGTGTGGAGAATCATGGTGTTGGCCAGGCGCCTGCCACTGTGATGGCAAACGAGACAGCTCAGAGCAACCATCTCATGATGCTGTCAAGCCTGAAACAACCCACGCACCTCGTCCACGGCTCTGGAAGAGACGCGCCTTGAGGTGACTTGCCTGCTTGGGGCAGGATACATGGGGATTCAGCCCGTGCGGCCGCAGCTCGAGGTGCCAATGGCTGGAGGCCTTGATCTCTGTCACCGGAATCAGAAGCAGGCCTGCCTCGGCCGACAGAACCCCTTTCACAAGCGTGTGACATCGCATGTGAAGTCCTCTCATTCCACTCCCTGAGCTACGAGATGCTACGTAGAACTCAGATGTACTTAGGGCGTGGCCGTCATAGCCACCGGCGCGCGCCTTTCGCAACGCGACAGAATGTTACTGCGGGGGGACTCCTAGACTCAACCTCATCCTGAGCAAACACCACATGACACATAGGTGCCAAGCTTTAACAACTAGAATAAAAGCATGTGGCTGTTCAATCTGTCCCGGGCGGAATCCTGGCTTCGTCTTGAGGGCATTTCTAAATCGAGGGCCTTGCCTCTTCTGCGTGCACGGGGCGGATGGGGTGAAGTGAACAAGGAAACCACACTGCAATGCAGTGCAAAGAGGTCTGCAAAACCATCTCCAACTTCGTTTTGCTCCCGCTAGTGATGCAAGACAGCAGCAGCAGAATCTACAGCAGCAGCAGCAGCAGCAGAATCTACAGCAGCAGCAGCAGCAGCATCCGCAGCAGCATCCGCAGCAGCATCCGCAGCAGCATCCGCAGCAGCATCCGCAGCAGCATCCGGCAGCGCCCCGCCTGGTTGCTTTGCTTGGCTGGAGTGCTGCGAACATCCGGCGCAAGCCTGCGAAGAAATTCAAACTTCTCAAAGGCTGCGCGGCACCAAGGCTGTTTGTGATCACAACTTTTCATATCAACGCCATTTACTGTAGTCTTCAATCCATCTTTCTGAGCAACTCTGAGGAGATATTCATTAAGGTGTCCAACGTTGTATGCTTTTAGTAGACATTTGAATGCTTCGGTGGGATTTGAAGACCGTTTCTTTCACGATGGTGGGTAGCCGGGCCCTTACTTTGGCTGGCGGGCCTTTGCGGCGCCAGGTTGCCTCGGGCTTCCTCAGATGATAGCCGGGGAGCCACTGCTAAAGACTATAATGACATGATCCACTGAAGTGATCAAACCCATCCCAGAGAACTGGGGACCAGGCCTTTCTCCTGCTTCCTGCGAGGGGAGACAAGGGAGAGTCCTAATTAGCCAGGATCCTTACTCCAGTGAAGATGCGTCTTCGTGACTCTCTCTGCTGGCGTCCTGATGCTGGTGACCTGGCAAGTCCATAAACCCTACACCCTAAAATGCCGAATGTTGAATCCCAACAAGGACCTTCGACAGAAGACAGGATATCGCTCAGTGGTGTGCGGTGGTGTGAAATAAAAAAGGTGGACAATGAACGCGCCCCGAAATACAAAGCACGAAGCCAAGAACCCCTGCAGGGCCTAGGGCTATAGTCTACACTGGCTTTGCGGCCTTTAGGGGTTCAGGGAGCACAGGTCTAGGTTTTCTTGTTTAGGGCTCAGGGGTTTATAGTATGACACAGTGAAACACCATGCGCCGGCATGCTCGTGAATTCGCAGAAGCGAGGCGGGCGGGCGGATCCATGGTAGCCGGGCGGTTCCTGCTCAGATGCCGGGCTAACATCCCTAAGCCCTGAACTCGAAATCCTTTGGGATTGGGGCCCCCTAAACCCTAGACATCCCTAAGCCCTAAACTCGAAATCCTAATCTTGAGATGCCAAAAAGACCTCAGAAAGACGAAAGGCCACCACATTCCTCGAAACCCCCCCACCTCGCCGAGTGCATCTCTTCTTTGAAGCTCCGCTCAACCTTCGTCGGGGTCTTGGGCACAGGGCACAAGTATCCCTAAACCCTAAACCCTAAACAGAGTTCGCGGAGACAAGGTTCCCGTCGAAAAGGGCGGTCCTCCCTCGAGCTTTCCTTGAGCCAACCAAGTTGCCTCTTGTAACACCGGGGAGGCGGTCTTTCTTAGACCTTTCCCCTTAAGTCCCTACCTCGTCATCGCCCGACGCGAGCTCGGCGACATTTACCACCTGACCAAAGTGGGGATCTACGAAGATAGGGGGCCCCGAATATAATCCCCAAATAGTAGGATTCCCGTATGATAAGGACCCCAGTAAGGTACCTTAATTTCGGAAACCCCCAAGTGTCACAAAGTGAAGCCGAGTACCCAAAATGTGTCACCTTGCAGCTGCGTTGAAAGTAAGTAAGCAGCGGGCCAGTGTCAGTCCATGCCAGTCCAGTTTTGCCGCAGACTTGCAAGCAAACTGTTAATCCCAACAGCAATACCCAGGTGGAAGTGAAACCAGTGAAACCCGCAACCCCTTTCTCAATGATTCTCGCACATCAAATCTAAAGGATGCCTTGGCCGAAGCATGACGTGGCGGCCCGCTGCCGCTCGGTCGAGGCCTTGTTGAGGTCAAGGGTGAAGAGGAACCACGAGTATCAAAATCTGCGCGCAGTGCGATGCCTAGTAGATGATGCTTAAGCCTTGAGGAACGCCGGGGGGGGCGGGGTGTTGTGTTCGACATTCGGACCCCCATACCTCATTTAGCGGGTCTCCTGAAGCGAAAAGGTCCCCAAATCAGGGACCCTTATGTTTGAGTCAGCATGAAATTCCGTCCCTTGTGTTTGTTGTCCCGGAACCAGGTGCATCCAAAGTCCCTTCGGAGCCGACGCACAATGCCAACCAAAGGAGAGGGGGAGGGGACAGGGGGAGGGGGGGGCAGGGGGGGGAGGGGGGCGGGGGAAGCGCCGAAAGGGGGGGAGGGGGGGGGGGGGGTGCTGCCGCATGCTTCCCAAGGCATAGGCTCCTCCTTGGAGGCCGTCGCGCGAAGTTGCCCAGGCTGCTGAGCGCCTGATCAAAAGCGGATCAGGGTTTGCTGAGACCTTGTAGGCATGTGCTGGCAACTCCTGACTCAAGGAGGCATGAGGCATCTCAAAACAACAGTGGCTGGTGAAGCTTCACTCCGCTACGGCCTGGTCCAACTCTTTACTCCCCTGGTGTGCATGGTAAGGTAACATGAGGCAACTGCCCGTTGCTTCTCCCATCCCCTGAGCTGCATGCCAGCAGATTCCCATGCCCTGCAGCTTGTGAAGTAAGGGGAGTTCACTTTGACAGGGTGAGAGTTTGTGTGGCATCTATCGTGCATGCAGTTGTCGCGCACCTGGGGTTTTGCTCTAACGAAGCTACTTTGGAATCTGGCACGTTGGTGCGAGTGGTTCCAGGCCTTTCCGCACAGGTTTGCAGTTCTTGTGCTTCCAGGCATGATCTTGTGATATGGTGGAGTGCAGGGAGGTGTCAGAGAAAGCGCCTGAGCTCTTGTGACTCTTGCGGTCTTCGAGTTTAAAATGGTCAAGATGAGATTACGAGTCTCTAAGAGCTTGAATCTAGGAACTCTTCGGAAGCTTACCTCTGAGCTCCGTGTCAGTATCCGTACATTCGAGGCTGCCCTTCTTCGTGTTACGCTGCCGTAGGTGCCATACTACTGCGCACTTACACCTGCCAAAGAAGGCAGATTTGCTACAGTTGAGACCTCAAGTCTGTGCGCTCAAGCACCCCGCCTGCTCGCTGACGGCGCAGATTCCTGAGGCTTGGTGGGCTTCTCATACCTGGCACTCCCGTCAGGTGAACTCGTCAAGCCGCCACGTCGAGTCGAAGTGACAGCGAGTTGACGGGAGGGTTGGAGCGAAGGCCGGGCTCGAAGACTGTTGTGCGAGCTCCTTGCTCTTTCAAGCATATTCGCAAATCTACTCGCCAGCGACATTAGCAACCCTCCCGTCCTCACCTCCCATTCCCACTCTGTTTTCCAAAGATGCGCTTCCAAACAAGGGGGCCCACTTCGATGCTTGTTTGGAACCTCGGATTCCACTGGACGCAACCCCATGCCCATGCCTGATACGTCACCCGTTTGGGTTGTGAGGGGGTGCGGCCAACGCCTGATCCATCCTTGAATCTGTGACCACCCAACCCGAGCATTGCTCTCGCATGGCCGCCGACCTCGAAAACTGAGGCCATGACTTCTCCCAGCTCCCATGAAAGCTGCGGTTTGTGGCAGTTTGGGGTTCGGGGACCAAGATCCTGGGCTCGAGGTGTGGGCTTGAGATGCTTGGAGGAGGCCGGGCTCTACCATCCCTGGGTTCTGGTGGGTGCTGGGTTGTGGACTCCGATGTCCTAAGCTGAAGTTTGTCTTCCTCCTGTCATCTTCTGTGTGCTGAAGCCTGGGGCTGCGTGGTTGCCATCCCTACTGGCAAGAGCACAGTAGCGAATCAGTGGGATGTTGGGAGCGGCTATGAAGGCACATTCTCTTCATACTTCTTGATGCTCCCCGGAAGTGTACCATGAAACAAAGGCTCGCGCGAAACCCAGCTGTCTCAGACTGTGACTTCCCAGGATCTTCAGGACTAAGAAGGCAGAGCACCAACCACAACCGCGAGATTCAAGAGACCGAGGGTGCGTGCTCCAAGACAAGTTGGCAACCAAACAAGGGCTGCGCCACTTCTGGGGCCTACCTACCACCATGCCAAGTATGGAAGCTCCCTAAGGTCTTGCCTGCAGAATGGCTTCACTGCCTTGCTATGTAAGATATTCCAAGGTGTTGGTTTTATGCTTCAATTGTGCTCAGCATGTTGCACCTTTTCTGCACAATTGCAATTCTGCACGACGCTGCAACAATCCAACGACGTGGCTTCACTGTCGATGGGCAGGAATGAAGCGATCCGCTGGTATGCGGGGTGTCCGGGTGACTTCCCTCAAGCCCCAGCGTCCAAGTATGGTGTACAATGATGGGTAGGTCCGGGCGGCAGTCTATCAGCATCACGGGGGAAGTCTTCCCAGAGGATCTCAAAGGAAACTCAGCCCCTAACCGAACCCTAAACCCTAAACCTAAAATCTCCTAAGCCCTCCCCAAACCCTAAGAGTGCTTGGACTTCGGCCCAGCCTGGCCCTGAACTCCACTTGCCCGGGCCCCTGAAAAGTCTACGAGAGTGACTCCCCACAACTGAAGCGGAGCCCTCGGCTCATTAGCAGTGCACTGGCAACGCCGCGCCTCAGTCCTGGCACAAGCATGTCCCAAGCCTCCCTATCTCCGTTTCTCGGTTTTCAACACCCTGAACTGCGACGCCGAGTAGACATGTGAAGAAGCGTGAAGACCCAAATAACAGGCGCGCACTGCCTAGGACCGTCGTTCACCCGACAGAATGAAGACCCGCGTGGATGAGCAGCCTTCTTCTTGGTGTCTGCGGCGGCACTTCCACCTGAGACCTGAGTAGCTGCTTGGAATAACCAGGTTCGAGCCCTGTTCAACACAACCTTTCGAGATCACACACCTGAGACCCACGCCGAATTGCACAAAGATATGGCCTGCTCAGCATGACGGGATTCTAAAAGTCTTTGGGTTTAGGACGAGCGTTGGGGTACTGGGGCTTTTTGGGGCTTTACGGCCTTAGCCTTTAAGGGTTTAGGACTATGGCGTTTACGGCTTTCAAGGCTTTGGGGCTTTGTGGCTTGAGACTTAGGTTTAGGGGTTTGCTTGGGGCTTCGGGCTTGCAGGGTTTGAGGGTTGTAGAGGTATGTGATGGTATGTGATTGGTTGTGAGTTTCAGAGCCCAGTTTCCTTGTAATCCCAAAGGAGGCATCCTTTGTAAGTTCGCCCTCCACCACTGGCATCTAGTTCTGGCAAATCCTTGTTCCCTCGCAATCAAATTGAAATTTTCTCATTCTGCCTCTCCTCATTGTCAAGTTGTTCCTGGCCACCATAAATTGTTGTCTGCTGTCTAGCCTGTGTGCACCTTGTGCCATCTGTTCTTTCTTTGACTCTCACTGAGAAGAAACTTGAAACCCTTGTCTGGCAAAAGCCAAGCCATCCTCCTGATTTGTCACCGTGAATTCGTCACCATAACAAAATTCTCGACTCATAGCCAGAATGAAGGACGAAAGATCGGATGTCGGATTGCGTTAGTGGGTGGGTGGCCACAAGTCAAGCAGCTTCCAACTATCGAACCTGCCCAGCATTCCACACTGCGAGGCTTCTTGATTCGGGAAGAGAAGTCTTGAGGTTATCGGATTTCGGCTCTGTCGATTCATGACATCCCCTTTCCTCTTTCTGCTGCACCCTGTGTTCGAGCGCCTGCTCCTTGATCCAGCCAGGTACTTCTTTCAGCTCCATCTCCTGCAAGAGCTCTCCGTACCTTTGCAGCACTTTTTTGCAAACTTCATAGCATTTTGGGCGCCCGCGCCCGAAGAAAAGCCCCGTCTCTTGTGCAAGCTGAGACAGCGGCAGGCCAATCAAGCGAACCATCTCTTTCCAGAGCTCGCCGCCGGCCATGGCAGCAGCCTTCGGAAGATGTTCCGCACAAGGGGCTTTTGTTTCTTTTGTGGGGAGTGGGAAGTGGGAACTTCAGGGTTTGGGGGCGGATACGGTGGACTTGTAAGGCTTGGGTTTAGAGCTGAGAGACCACGACTGGAACTCTCCCCCCCTCCCCAAGTCATCCCGGCTCGGCTCCCAGCGACTCGCCCTCGATCATGCAGCGCTAGGTATGCTTGCACACCCACCTTGAGACTTGCGACGCTGGAGCCAGTCAAGCAAAGCGTGCGAAGGCAAGAAGTTGTGGTGAGAAAGCCGTGTCAGGTCCTGAGCCTTTGGCGTACCCAAAGATGAGCACATAGGCTAGGAGCATAATCTGAGCACAGTGGCACTGCTACAGCTTTGGACAGCAGCCCTGGCATGCCCTGGCTCTACTCATGCTACCTCTGCATCCAAGTGATGGCTATGAAAGTGGGGCACGCCTTACTCAAGTCCGTACATGTCTGCGACCACCAGTCGCAAGTCCAGTCACCTGGGCTTGAGACACAAAGCGAGGCAGGACGGCATCAGTGTGCCGCCAGAACTTGGACCCTATAACTGTTAAACAGTTCAGCAGAGGGCTGCTAGCCGCACGAACTAAACTAGCCGCAAGTACTCTACTCTGCAAATTCGCTCCAACATGGCCTGAAAGCACGATGATCTTCAGCCCACCGCGCCCATCGCCAAACACACGCTTACAGTAGCTTGGCTTAGACACGTAACGACTGCGTGAACACACCTTTATAATAGTCTGCGAGACCGTTTGATTTTAAACGGGTGGCTGATGCGGTCCAGCACGAAGAGCGCTAAGCCAATCAAGCTGATGTTCGCGAAAGCGACCAGTGCCTGAACATATCTGGACAATCAACTATAGGCTATAGGTGACGGGCACGCCACGCAAAAAGGAACCACGTTTCAGGAACCGACTAAGACGTAACAAGAACGAGGGGGACATGAAACAGGAATCCCCACAGTTCCTGGTACAGCTTTGGCCCAGTTCCTGAAACAGGCTCCTGAAAAAGGGTTTGCTGTAACAACCCCCTGGTTCCGGTTGCAGCGTTTTCTCCGATGAAATCAGCCCACGAGGCGTGCATGTTCAGATGGAATCCCCACATCCCTACATCCAACTCGTTCAGCTGAGCACTGCTTTCTTCTAAATTCGAGTTTGGATCCCTGAGAACAGGTTGGTGCCTTCTCTAACCGTCTGGCGTTCTCCTGCGGGCGGCTGGCCGATGGGTCGATGGGATTTGCACGTCCATCAAGAGAGCTGGAGGGGCCACCATGAACATTGACGATGAACATATCGACAGCTCAAACAGCCCCTCTCATGCAGCAATGACACATCTTCCTGCGTCAAGCGAGCTATTCCTGGTTCAAGACTGAAGAGCCAAACCTTCGGCTGTCCTCCTCGTACCTCTTTCGGAGCCTGTCCAAGTTTTCGCAAATTTCGCTCCAGGTGTCTTTTCTGGTGTCGTCTGACCTCGGCGCCAGCTAGTGCAAGCGCAAAGATGTCTTGAGCAGTCTTGCAGAAGACCGCACCTACGCCAGAAAGCAAGACAGGACTCCACGATATGATTATGACGGACCTGAGAAGAAGAGTTGAGAACTATGTCAAAGACAAAGCTCCGTCCCACCGGGGCAGATGGCAGGGGCGCAAGCCATCCCGTCCCTAGCCTGATCGAGACTGCCCAGCGTAGGCCACCCGGCCCAAAGATGGTGACGGACTTGTACTCGTCCTGCAACTTTCTTGAGACTTGGAAACTGTGCTCCTACAGGACGCGACGAAGATCTGCATGCGAATTCGCAACTTCCACCTCCACGAGGCGAGTGACTGTTCCGGAGATGCTGGCGAAGTCTTCAGGCTTCATGCCTGCACGAAGTCACAAAGCTGCCAGACATGCGCGACAGCTGTGTGTAGTTTTTTGGCTCTTGGCACATGGGGAAACTGACTCTGCATGGCCGGATCCTGCACCCTCGAACCGGAGCACCCATGCGGACTTGCAGCCCCCCCAGGTCTGAATTCCAAGAGGGCTTTTCGGGCTGAAGATCCCCAAGCAGGGCGGCCTCTGGGATGCTTCGATGCTTCCTCAGGGCACGCTCTGGCAGAGCTTCAGGGCTTCGATATGCTTCTGAGGCCCCAAAGTTTGGAACCGGAATCACCTTTGGCTCAGGTCCTTCGATGGCCGTTTCCTACAGTACCTTTTGCAAGATTGAGCCATGAGGTGGAAGGACGTTCCACCTCACCTTAGATGTGCTGCTTCTCGTGGCATCTTGCCTCATCCATCTTCTTGCTGAAGCTTTTCATGGCCTGCTCCTTTGCCAGCAGCACCTAAGCCAGCTGGTCAGGCTGCAAGTAGGCAAGGAAACGCCGGACCTAGCCGGTTTGAAGAATACTCCTAAGAGGCGTGGCTCGAAACTTCGGGTTTAGTGCTTCGCATGCTGGATCGCACAGTGAGGTGCAGACTCGTCTCACATGTCAACACCTTTGTTTGTTAGGGCTGGAGCCGTGCAATTGGTCATCGCCTGCGTAAACGACATGGCGGCTGGAGCCGCATCGTGAAACGCATTGACCTCAGCTCCAGGGACGCCGTGATGTGCGTGACAAGAAGCGACAATTGGAAAGGCCTGTTGCAGGGGCTGTATGCTCTTAGCTGGGCAAGAGAGCACAGTGCATAGCCTACCCGAGTCCCTGGTACGCCTCAGCTTCCTGCAAAGTTCCGGAGGACGTGCGGAAAGCTCATTGTGCCTGGTGTGCGTAAACACTGAGGGGGTGGATATGACGAAGAGCCGAAGGGTCTGAATCCCGTAGCCTTCCATGAGAAGTCTGGGCTTCCCTGAAACTTGCATGGGTTGCGGAGGCTTGCGGAGTTGATGGCTACGGCCTATGTGATCACAGCCTGATTCATGCATGCAGGATTCGCGGCCAAGATGCTTAACTCTGAGCCCAAGATCTTCTTGGTGCTCAGACCTGCCGGGCACAAGGGAGTCATCGATTTTCCAGGGACTGAGCTTGCAAGCTTCGGGCCTGACAAATCATTTCAGGACACTGCGCGGTGGCCAATAGAACATCATTTTCTAAGTCCTTGTGGCACTAGGCCTACTGTCTTGATCGTGCAATTTCGTCACATGGCCACAAGTCAAAAAGCTGTCAGTGACCAGCAAGGCTTGCCTGTGGTGAACACGTCTCGGACGTATATGTCCATGAACCGAATGAAGTCCCTGTTGATGTCAGCGACCTCTAAACGGCAAGCGCCGGCAGCTCCGCTTTGAAGTCCGTGCTGACACGTGTTTCTCCGAAGAAGCATCAAGCTGCATTCGTCACGAGCTCCCTTTCTTGTGCCCTTGCTTTACCTGATGGCTCGAACCACAGGATCCCACATACCCCGGTGCTTGGCCTGGGGGTTGAGCTGTTCGGGTATCCCCTGAAGCGATGCTTTCATGCGTCTTTCGCATATATCTTCCACCCGGCTGCCTTGCCAGTCCAGGTGTCCTTCTCGATGATCAGCCCGGGGTGTGGCCTCGAACAAACATGTTCCATCGCCACCCTGGCCCTTCGAACTGCACTGTGCAGCTGGCAAGCATTGGCATACTCAGGTTGCTTACAATGTTTGCCGGGCGCCGGGCAGGCAAAAACACGTCAAGCGCTTGAACATCTCGTGCAATGCCTGGTGGGGTTGCACACATTGCTCGGAGCAAGCCCTCCCCTCCCCCCCACCCCCATCCGCATCGTGCCACATGAAGTGCACCTGTCTTCGCTTTCCGGGGATGAGGATGATTGAAAGAATGACTGTCAAGCAGCCATCTGCGAATCCATGAGCACCATATGGTTCATGTTCCTCTTCCCCACCCCACCACCCGCACCTTTCTAGAAGCTCTCCACCAGGCCACAGCACCCCTCCCAACTTCAAGGTCGAGGGCCATACCTATCAGTTGCCCCTTTTGCTGCCCGGGGAAATCTCCTTTCGGAGTTCGGGTAAAGGAAGAAAGTCTAAACACGTTGAGGCCGAAAGCCTGTGTTGAGCCAAAGCTGCAAGACAGCCCACTTGCATGCTAAGACATGCTAATGGTATCTGTATGTATATATATATACATATGTACTTATTTATTTATGTCCTTATGTATTTTCAAAATGTATTTCTTTATTACTTACCCCTCATACCCGCAGGCAGCGCTGAGCAGCTTCAAGTCCCATACTTTGGCCTCAAAGTCACCTCATACTTGCTTGCTACTGCCGTTCCTCTCGCAATCCCCGCTTGGGAGACTGCACCGTCCTGCAGCATCGCCCAGTTCAACTAGCCGAACTGTCCCCCTTCTTCTGAAGTAGGTCAACCTAGTTGCCTTGGCGATGCAGGGTCTACAGGTGAGCCCCTTTATTTTGCCCTTCTTGGCCTGAAATGGGTACCCCCCCTAGCCGACAAGTGTCCGGGAGCAGACGGTGCATCAGAACCAGGGGTCACTTCAGCCTGCCTAGGGGCGCCGCCCCCCCCCCCCCACCCCCCAACCCCCCCCCCCACCCCAGCCCCCCTGGTTTGGGAGGCGGGTCGCGTAGCGTTAAAATTAGCAAGCAAACAAAATCTGCAGCCGTGCTCGCAAGAAACAAGACAACTCGTGACGGTGATTTAGGAATTACAAGATGTTGGGCACCTCGGCCGTGCTGTTCTCCACCATCTTCTGCGGGTTGACGTGACGGGAAAGGTGCCTGGGCACAGATGAGGAGGCTGTCGCCGGCTTGTGCCGGTCCATTGGACAGCTAGAAACACTTACTCTGACTCTCTACTTGCCAAACTTTGGAATCATTCTCGCGACTTTTGAAGCTGATGTTCTGAGGGTCGTGCTTCTTGAGTCAGCGTCGACACAGCAGGGCACGTGAGGGAATTGGATAGGTCAGTGGCGTCGAATGACTAGATGCAAGTGCCCTTCTAGTTTGTTGCTTTTTCACAGAGTCCTTTGCAACTCGAAAAAAGCGCGCGGAAAGATCAACTTGCGAAACGCTTTACATACAGCATCGAATTCTCCACACCAAGCATCAGCTGATTCGCAACCTCCCGAACCCTCAGAAGCTTGGGTGAGCGCTGCTGCATCTGCTCCATACACTGCTCCACGGTCCAGTCGTCCCTGTCAGCATGCCACAGGATCCTCATAGACATGTGTGTATAGACAAAGCACAAAATACGTATTTCGTATTACATATATATATATATGACTATATGTAAACTGCATGCAAACATCAAAAAGGGCCGAGATTTCCATATTTTTCTGTGTATCTACATCTATATACATGTGTGTATATGTATATATACATATTTTTATCTATTCATCTATTTCTTTTTCTATTTACTTTTTTACTTGTGCTCACCACCCTCGCCGGTCCACCCCACCCCCCCAACCCCCCCCCCCCCACCCCCCCAACCTCCCCCACCCCCCCAACCCCCCCCACCCCCCCACCCGGGTCCCCCTTGTGTGTCAACCTCGAAATCAACACAACTCCAATGGTCGGGTGCAGCAGTAACTGCGGCAAACATGTTGCGCCCAAACATCTTCTCTCGAATGCCCTTGTTGTTTGTGGCAGCCCTCCCCTTCGCCGCCGTGGAAGGGTTGTCGATTTTGTCCCCTTCTCGGTGGGAGGGGGGGGTTGGTTACGTCCATTTTCTTGCGTGCAGCCGGGAACATCGCTATTTACAGCATTTTTGCTGCTGGGCCTGGTGGCTTCTGCTCAAGATGTTGGCCAAGATCGTCGATTTCTCGCTTTTTCCTCTGACGGAAAACGCTGTTTTTGCCGCCTGTTTATTTCTTTCTTAGGGGGAAGGGGGGCGAGGGTCGTGCTTGCAGAGTCCTCGGTATGTGCCAGCAAGCCGGGCATGTAGAAGATGAGGACAGAGACCACAGCCACGACCCGAAGTAGAAGCTGCTGTAAATACAGATGGTTTGCCGCAAAAGAGGCCGCAAATGCCGGAACAACCGAGGATTTTGAGGCAGCCCGGTCCACCCTCCCAAGAGAAAATGCAACAACAAGCAAAAACAAGCTTTCCGGCGTGATCAAAAAACAGCGAGGCTTCCAGCAACTCTTGTGCGAAGCACTCTGGGCCAATTGAGGTACAAAGAACACTGCAAAGAGCAGCGTGCCGAAAAGGCAAACTTTTATTCCAAGATAACCCTGTTGCCAAAACCTCACGTTTGTTTTCAACTCAAAAAATAGTTCCACGGCGGCGACAGGGCGGCCTGAATTGTTTAACTACTTTCATCTTGCCAAGCCCATGCTGTCCACGCATCCTGTTCTGCAGAGTGCCACTTATCCCACAGGAAGTGATGTTGAAGGTCGGCCACTGCCATCCCCAGCAGACTTGACCAACTCTTCCAAAGCACCAAGCAGAGCTTTCCCTCCAGATGGAGGGTTATCGTACAAGACCTAAAGGCCATTTCTAGCCTCAGGATTTTGGCGGTTTTTTACACACATTTGTTATGCATTTACTGATTCATTTGTTTTATGTATTTACTGTTATTTTTTTATTGACTTATCTATCTTGAGCTTATGTTCAAAACTTTTTCTGGCCAATGTTAAGTGAAAGCCGAGAATGGCACCTGAAGTGGCGCCAATCGCGGACAAGGAAATCCAGGGACTGGAAGGGTCTGTCAATCTCGTCCTCAGGCCGGCAGCAAGCGCTTTGCAGAGTTTCTTGAACAGAGCGTGAACGCCTTGAGTAAATCGGGTTGCGAGATAAGCGACAAAGACACACACACACACACACACACACACACACACCGGGGCAAACCTTTAACATACAGTTTGGCGCCGCAGTGTTGCTACGAGCACGTACTCCTGCGAATCTCTACAGCAGATGACGTCGACGTTGGTACTTTGGAAACTGGGGCCATGGCCCGGCTCAGCGCCTTGCCTCCACATCCGCGACACGTGACAATGTTAGCAACATGCACCAAAAATGCAGCGACCGGTGCAGAAGCGAGGTTTCGCAGCTCCTTCTTGGTCCATCTTCATCAAGTGGCCAGGTTGGCAGATGTCAACTGCTCCATCCCAAAAAGCACAATGGGCTGTGGCTGGCACTCTTCGGCCGGGCCTTCTCGCTCCATCTCACTGGCCGCCTTGTTGAGCTCCGCTTGGGCAAAGCGCATGAAGTAGGCCAGGTTCTCCACCTTGCCGTACATGCCCACACACTTCTGAGCTCCCAAGCACATATGGTACTGATCAAGTCCCGTCGTGCAACATGCGTGCTCGTACAGGAGCAAGCTCCCAGGCAAAGCTATGGGAATGTCGGGCTCGGCGCAGCCTATTGCCTATTGTTCATGCAGCGCTGTGACGCATGAATCAATTTGTCCCTGCCTTGTCCTCCTGTATCTGCATGTTGATGTTGTAGATCCTCAGCTTTGGTTGTGAGACCACAGCTTCATTCCCAAACATGTCCCGATTTCCTGCCAGTTGATTTCGGCTTTACATGGCTGTCGCCAGGCGTCTGCTTTGATGAAAGCACGGCAGTCAAGCCAAAGACAGTGGCAGATTGCTCCTGACAGGGAGGAGGGAGGGTCCAGTGTAGACGGCCGTAGACTCTGGACAATGCCACAAGCCGACATACAAAGGCGTGCGGCTCCGTGCGACTGCACCAAACCCCCCCCCAAGGCCTACAGTGCCCCCAAAGCCTACGGTGCCCACTGCAGAGAGAACAGCAATCCTTGGTCATGTTGCTGTCCCAGGCGCCCTGGCAAAGTGTTTCCATGCCTGTGGTCTCTGTGGGGCCTAACTGAGCCCAGCCTGTGTGTCCATGAGCAGCACAGCGACCTGTTTGCCATCCAGCTCTCGCAAGAAGGGCTCGGACCTCTGATTCAGGGGCGGGTGGAAGGGGCGGGGCGCTGGCGAAGGTTTGTCTTGCAATCTGAAGCATGCAGGTCGCCCGGGCGAACAACTCCGAGCACCCAAGTTGCAGGCCAGACCCATATGCCCTCCGTGCAGGCGTCCATGCCGCCTTTAAACCGGAAGCCCTGCCAGCAGTGTCTAGTCACAGAAGCTGCTGGAGCATGTAGCTGCGTAGTTCAGAGACAAAAGCCTCTCGAGCTTGTGAGACATTGAGGTTCAGCAACTGGAGGATTCTCATGTAATGCACAACCAGACAGATGAAGGCAAGGTTTGTCAGCACGGTTGTGTGGCACTCCAGCAGCCCTTCTATATGCTTCAATGCTCAAGGCGCTGTCCTTGCCCTAATCCTTGAACCCCAGACTCCCATCGATGAAGGACAGCTTCTCATGAGGACTTGGGATCAGAGTTGCAACCTGCGCTAGCCTCGTCATCTTCGGAGGCTCCCTCTATGCTGGCACCCGCCGTGGTGATCTTAGAAGCACTTGGCAGCATAACTTCAGTCCTCTTGATCTTGGCGGGAACATCTCGTTATCTTTTTCTATCACTCTGCAACTTCCACATGTGCCGCTGCACGAAATGTTCAAATCACCATGCAAGGCAATCAGCAAGGGGCTGTGGCAACCCCCTGAGTTCCCCGCCCACGCAGGCAATGGAAAATCCTTCACTTCATCTCTCGCAAGCACACAAAAATGTCAGTGCAGACATCCCCGCAACATGAACAACAGCCGTTGTCGGCCGTCCTCATTTCCGCCCCGTGCAGGCGGCGACTCCTTCAAGGCTAGCGGATATGATCGGATATGACCCTTTCGCCTGAAAACTTGCTCATGATGGCTACATAACAATATGTCGTGGGACCTCGGATAGATAGCTGCGAAGTCTAGAATCCTGCCTGATATTGCGATCCCTTCATTGAAGGCCTTCCTTTTCTGCCATGGAGAAAGAGGCAAGAAACAACACCTTGAGCAAGGCAGAGACAGGCAGCTGGATAAGATCTTCTCGGCCCTCCACCACTTCATCATCCTTCGCTTCTATTCCGGGCCACACTCTTGTTCTGCAACTTTCAGACTTTCTGAAAAACTATGGAAACACTGTGTCTTTGTCTCCCCCTCCCATTCCATTTTCCTTGGTAAGGCCCAGGCTAGAAACCTCAAACCCGAAAACCCTGAATGCCCTGGAGCCCTAAGGCCTTAAACCCTAAACCTGAAGCCCTAACAGTACAAAGCCCTGAAACCCCCCAAAAAACACACCGACAACCCGAAAAGCCTGAACGCTCTGAGAATCAAAAACCTGAGAAAAACAACCTGAAAACCCTCAAAACCCTAAGCACCTTTTAAAAAATCCAAAAAGCCCGAACACCCCAAACCCAAAAAACCTGACATCCCTATACCCTGAAGACCCTAAAAACCAAAAACCTTCAAGCCCTCAAGAACCCGAAAAACCCTGAAAGCTCCAAAGACCCTGAAGCCATAAGCCCTACAACGCCCCTGAAAACAAACCCACAACAGAACACATCCCTAAACCCTAAACCCTAAACCCTAAACCCTAAACCCTAAACCCTAAACCCTAAACCCTAAACCCTAAACCCTAAACCCTAAACCCTAAACCCTAAACCTAGCAGCAGCCGAGCCTTCACCCCAAATAAACCCTAAACCCGAAACCCTAAACCCTAAACCCTAAACTCTGAGTCCCCCGGCGCGTCTCGCGGCCGCCGCCTCCTCGGGATGGTCGGCCTGTCCAGGGGACCAAGCTGTTTTGGGGTTTAGGGTTTAGGGCTTAGGGTTTAGGGTTTAGGGTTTTAGGGTTTAGGGTTTAGGGTTTAGGGTTTGGGGTTTAGGGTTTAGGGTTTAGGGTTTAGGGTTTAGGGTTTAGGGTTTAGGGTTTAGGGTTTAGGTTTAGGGTTTAGGGTTTTGGGCTTAGGGCTTAGCTTAGGTTTAGGGTTTAGGGTTTAGGGCTTAGGCTTAGGCTTAGGGTTTAGGGTTTTAGGGGGCTTAGGGTTTAGGGTTTAGGGTTTAGGGTTTAGGTTTAGGGTTTAGGGTTAGGGTTTAGGGTTTAGGGTTTAGGGTTAGGGTTTAGGGTTTAGGGTTTATGGTTTAGGTTTAGGGTTTAGGGTTTAGGGTTTAGGGTTTAGGGTTTAGGGTTTAGGGTTTAGGGTTTAGGGTTTAGGGTTTAGGGTTTAGGGTTTAGGGTTTAGGGTTTAGGGTTTAGGGTTTAGGGTTTAGGGTTTAGGGTTTAGGGTTTGGGGGCTTTTGGCCGGTTTTTCTAGGGTGTTTATGGGGTTGTTGGAGGGGCTTTAGGAGTTTTTTTCAGCGTTGTAAGGATTTGGAGGATTTCAATGCTTTTGGGGCGCTGTTGGGGCTTTTGGGGATTTAGGGCTTTTGGGGCGCTTCGGGTTTTAGGAGTATGGGCAACGCATGGTCTAGCACCAGAGCGGGACTGTTGAGCCTTGTAACCGCGCATACACTCGAACAAACTACAATCTAGTTCTTCGATCGTGAAGAATACAGACATGTGCACGCACGCAATCTTCCTAATATGTATATACAAATGTGTATGTATGTATATATATATATATTTTTTGTTAATGTATTTATACACTTAGCTGTATGAACGTCATCACTTCTGGTGCAAAAAAATCTTGCCGAACCTCCCACTTCAAGAAGCGGAGGAACAGGTCCAACAAGAAGGACCTCAAAGACAGCAGCGTGTCGTGAGGCACCAAGCTCAGAGCTCATGACCCTACAAACGACGAAGGGAACTTAAACTAGGGCTTTTGGCATATTCCTGAACCATACGCCGTGGCAAGTTGCTATTCCTTGCCAGCTTCTCTGCGTAGCATCACTGCTACAGCGTGATTTAACTCTCGCGCGCGTCACCTCTCGAAAGAAAGGCGCGAAAACAAGAAACATCCATCCAAGAGCAGGACTTTCCTGTTCGGAAAGCACCCATGACTGAGACGATGGCTACCTGAGCAGGCACACACACACACAGACTTACACTTCCTGCAACTTTCACCAAGCGACTTACACCAAACAGCTGCATACACTCAGGCAAGAGGATGCTTACACATTCTATAGAGCACCAAGATCAGTACTGTACAGAGCGGATGCCACGATTGAAAACTGACCTCCGCAACCCTGGCGGGTCCTCTGGTCGGTCACCAGACCAACTCTCAGCTTTAGTAGAACGCCTGTGAAGAACTCCAGAGCTCTTGAACCCATGAGCCCTGCCTTGCGGGTCTATTGCGTGCCGGGGCACCATCTTGGCACCCACTTCTTTCAGTCTTTTCTCTAGCCGGCCAAGCCTCAGACCGTTGGCAGGCGGGAATCGATCTTATACGAGGGACGAAGATCAACACACACACACACACACACACACACAAACACGCACATATACACACACACACATGTACAGCGCAGGGGCTCCGCCGAGGTTTTTGAGAGCATCGGGCCCGTGACCGGGTGTTGGCTGGAACAAAGAGGTCATGTTTCCTCAAGCCTCTAGACCGTCTAGACTGTCGTAATCACGCATCATGAACCGACACCCTGTCATGAGAGTGATTTGGATGAGGTTCATCATCGTCGTCCTCATCCTTATGCTCTTCCATCTTCATCCTCATCCTGATTCTAACCATCATCAACATCATCAACAGCAGCATCTCCTCGCCTTCACAAATCGAGGACTGAAGGCCGAAGTTTGAGGCATCAAGCTCTGAGTGTGCCCGCGCGTCTTCATTGACTTCGACCTTCTTGGCATCCATGTTCAAAGTGACCAGCCTCAGGGTGTGCCACAGGAAACTTCTTTCCGTAGCGCGCAAAGGCAGAGAGAGGAAAGTCTAAGCTTCCGGGCTGCAGAGGGCAGCCTGGCTTTCTCGTCGGAGGCTCCATGTTCGCCTTCGCAAGTCGCGCACACGAATGGGAATGGGACGGAATGGGACCTGGGAGGGACCCGGGGTCACCCTACTGGACCCCAAATCCCAAGATTGCCCCCGAAAACCTGTCGGAAAACCTGAAGGTCAAAGAAAGATGGTGTCGTGAGTATCATCCTCTTCAACGGTGTAGGGTTTAGGGCTGAGGGTGGACCAGGTTCAACGAGCCACACCAAAAACAGCCACTCTCACAGTAGAGCCTCGAAGCCTGATGGGCAAGTTGTTCCTTCCGCACCGCTAAGCAAGTCAACGAACGTTCTGTGCCTTCTTCGCACACCTCATGGGAGTTTACGAAAATAAGGTTTCGGGTTTATATGGGGTTTAGGGTTTATTTAGGGTTTATATAGGTTTTAGGGTTTCCATAGGGCTTATTTCGTGAAAAAACCCGGGCCAAGCCTCGGCTCCTGGAGCGGCGGCGAGCGATCTTTGGCAATCTCTGCAGCCCCCCCGCAACTTGGGAAAGTGTGGCGGATGCCGGCTTTGTTCAGAGCTCGGTGAAAGGCGGGGTGTGTTTGGCCTCCGAAACCCTCCTAAACCCTCCGAAACCCTCCTAAACCCTCCTAAACCCTCCTCTGAGAAAGACTGACCCCAACTTGGAGAGGAATCAGATGCGGGATACAGGGATACCAAACTTCAACAAGCCGTGCTCCGGTGTGTTCTCGGGGGCGTTTTCCTCGCTCCCACTTTCTGCCAGCGCAGCTCAGTCGTAGCAAAGGACGGCCGGCGCAGCTGGGCGACTCCGAGTCGTGCGCATCTCGGAAGCCTGGGCCACGTGGCAATGTGTGCTAGGGCAGTTCTTTTTGGCGATAGATGGACACAAAACACATCACGCGTAAGGCAAGCACTACATCTGATGAGATTTCACTGCGATGCACTGCTGTTCATGATAGTCTCAGCAGATTCTGGGCATAGGAACCAGACTTGATCTAAGTGTCGCGCTCTTGACAGCAGGCGCTCGGCAAGTCTTGCCCAATCGCTGGTCTGAGGGTCAAAAACCTCCATGCCAGGATTCGGCAGGTGTGTAGGCAGTCTTCAGTGCCAATCATGGACGCACCTCATGCTCCAAGCGAAGGGCTTGTAAGGCCGAGCGCATCTTCTCATCTGGGACAGCCTGTGCCAAATGATGTCCTGAAGACGGGGCTGCTCACTCGCGACTGAGGTTGCCAGTTTATCAGAGACCAGTCAACAGCTCAGGGTCTTTACAATCCAGTCCTCGCGTTAGGTCATCGACCTCAGTCGAATTGGCCCCTCTTCGAGTTGTCAACGACGTGGGACAGTGCACATGTTTGCCAGAAGTTAGTTGTGTATTGCGTGCTAATCAAGCGGTTTGTGTGAACACGTGAAGGCTGCTTCGACTTTGCAAGGACATGTTCTGATGTCAGTGCCTCAGGCAGAGGCCAAAAGAACGGGCCGACGATGAGGATCCAAACTGATGGCGTCCTCACTGCAGCGACTCACGCATCCTCGCATCATGTGTCCATTTGTCTTGGTGTGGCCTCGCGGCTTAATGTCCAAGCAAACCTAGGAAGCCTAGCATCTGCAACACCACAGAAGTCCTGCAGCCATGCGATCTTGTCCAAGGCTGAATCAACCTCAGGCCCATATCCAGCCCTTGGTTGATGAACTTGGTTTGTCAGTCCACATCTTGCCTTTCGATAACTGGACCACTGAGGCCAAAACCAAAAGCAAGCGCCCTGCGTTGGGGAAGCCGTTGGCTGCCTCATGACAACTCTTCGCAGTCATGCGAAGGAGGCATTGGCAACATCACACCTTGGACTGAATCTTACACCTGACTGACTGCACGGGATTCAGACCCAAGAAACCGCCAGACTCTCAAGCATCAAGACTGGACCCAGCCACTAGCCATCGCAGCGTGGCTTCGAAAGCACCCGGAGCACTCCGGGCCTCAGTGACTCAGGTACATAACTTACGTCTTGTTCCCCACATGGGGATTCATCAAATAACAGGCCAGAGACTTGCACTCGGCAACCTGCCTGGGCCTGAGCTGAGCCAAGGACGGAGAGGTATGTAATCTCCCACTCGCGTGTTAGCGATGCTAGGGCCTTCTGCGCACCTGCCAAGCAGGTGTGCTCCCCCATGGTCCAAGTCCAACTTGCGTACCACATACAACTTTGCATTAGCATATGACTGTGTGTGATTGTACTATGACCTTATCATAGTAACCGACTAGTATACTATTCAATCACAAAACACTGATTCTATTGCAAGTATTGTACGAGTATACTATTGTACGGTTATGCGAATACGATTATGGTATTATATTCTTCTACTGTTCTCCTATTCTACTATTCTGCTATTCGACTATTCTGCTGTTCTACTAGTCCGCTATCTGGTACTCTGCTATTCTGCTAATTCTGCAAATTCTGCTATGCCGCAGAATCTATGGACCCCCAGAAATCAGCACGAAGAGAAGCCATTGCCAAGCGCGTTTTTGGGATGCCGTGACGGAGACTCACTACAAAGTCACGCTTTAAGATGACTCGTTTGGGGTCGAGGTTGGTTCTACTATTTAGACGATTAGACAGACTATTGCACGGTTACACTGAAAAAATCTTCTACCATGATACTAAAAACCTACTATACTACTATACTACTCTTACGATTGTATACTACGGTTTACTGATACGTACAACTATATACCGCTGTATACCGTTAGATACTACTATACAAAAACTATCACATACGATCATATACTCTTCTAGTGCTTGAAAAATTCTTGTTTCCAAGTATACAATTATACAGATATACAAGGAGACTATTAAACTATACTCTTGTTGTGCAACTGATATGCTATTGCTATACTATTCGAATACTGCTATTATACTATTAATATACTGGAAATAACTGTAAATAAATTAGATATACTACTTACTACTTTTTCTGCTATTCCTATACCATGATTCTACTGCTACAGTAACACAGGCCTGGTAGTGGCGAATCTTTGGCCAACTCCTTCGTAGAGCGGGCGCGCGGCGCAAGGCACGCTTCTCTCCACTTCTCCACCGTGACAGGGTTTGCTTTGATCTTGGCTAACCCCACCTCTGTGCGGCCCACCTCCGTGGCGGGGGGTCCCTAAAGTGTCCCCCCCGATTTTTTATGTTGAAACGTTTTTTGCAGGGAGGCGCGCTGGGGGCGCCGCAGGCTAGGCACCCGTCTACGGACCTCTTTCCAGGGAACTTCAAGGGACGCACAAAAGATCGTTCTCTCGAATCCGACCCGGAACTCCATGTAAGAAAAATTCTGGGCGCGCTGCGCCTTTGGATGGCTTCCCTCCCACCTCGGTGCCCTTTAACCCCTAGGCCCCATGACCTTCTAAGGGACCTTAAGGCCCCAAACTCTCAATTTTGCGACCGACCTCCGTAAGGACAAACCCTTGCACTTTGGTCGGCGGCAGCGTTTACCGTCATGCAGGCTTACACACACGGCAGCTATCCGTAAGAAACAGCCATCTGGAATCCTCTCCCGAACCGCGCTCGATGCAAACAAGACTTGTGCCGTCTTTGCAACAAGGTATGGCATCTCTGAGCCACACTTGGAACCTGTCTCAGCCCATCATAAGTAAGTCAAGCGAAAGCAATGTCCAGAGAAGGTCAAACTCGGGATTCACAGCTTGGCTCCTCTGGCAGGTGCGCCCGAGAATCAAAAGTCTCGCCCGGCCAGCTCGGTATCGTGGCCTGGTCAAGATAGAGTGGTCCCAGGCATTCCACTGCGGACACCGTGCAGCCCGAAAAGACAGGCACTGCGAAATCGACCCCAAATACCGCAAATGTCCTGAAACAAAAACTTAAAATCTCAACGTGCACACGCTGAATCGGTGCCGGGAGCTCTCTGCGAATTCGATTCCATGCGTCACTGACCTCAAGGGGGCACTTGTGCAGAGGTTGTGATGAACATATTTCGCTGCCCCATTGCATTCCCAAGACTTCTTTTTTTACAACATCCGCAGCGTAGACTCCAGGATCCTGGCTGTATTATCTATGTCCACAAAAAGCTTGCCCCTGCGATGAAGAGCGTACTCCACCACCTTCCGGCAAAGGAGGCTCGGGCTCTTGGTGCTTGGGCCTCACATTGGCTGTTTCTTTGTTGCAGGCGCGGGGGCGCGTTGTTTTTGTGCTGTTTCTTTGCTGCGGGCGAGGAGGCGTGGGGCAGCGTGAACAAGTCAGAATATTAAAGACACCGTTGAAATTTCTATAAACCTGTCTATTCTGTAATTTTGATAGGCAAAGAAATTGTTCTCTATGTTTTGGTTTTGAGAGAGAGCCGACTTCCTCGGTGGAAATCTGAATTTCTTTTACGTGTCCATAGCTAGAGTGCCCTCCATTTCCTGTGTATATATATATATATCTATATTTATTTATTTACAAAGCCCCTCCCTAATTGACATGTGCCTTTTTTGTCGTGTTGTCCTTGAGAACTTGCCACGGCATCGCCGGACAACGGCTCCTTATATAGTGCAACCACAAAGCATTCAATAACTGTAATGTGTATGTACATATATACATATAGTACCCCCACCCCTGGGTAGCTGGGTTTGGAGGGTGGGTTCCTTAACAAATGAAAGTTTGATATTTGGATCCATCTAGATGATAAACTGAAACCACAGGACACATCAACATGAAAAACTAAAGCAAAAAGTTCGACATTGGAAGGTTGACATTGAACTTCAATATTGGATGTTGAAGTTCAACATTTCAATGCTGAACGCCGTACCCTGTGTGTATGCGCCATAAAGAGGAGAGCCCCAGAGCCCTTACATCCTACTGGTAAAAACCAAACCCTATTGCTTGCTTAAATCTTGTTGCCAAACCCTAAAGTGCGGAATCCCTACATCTTATTCCCTTCGTTTTTCTTCCCAAATCCTGTTCCCTAAATTCCTAACTTTAAGCAAGAGCGGGACCCCAAGTTTTGTTCCCGAAATCTTATTCCCTAAAGTTCATTCCCTAAGTCCTGTTCCCTAGGCCCTTTTTAGAGGACAAAAAAGGAACTGGAGGTTCCCCATTGAACTATAGAGGACATAAAGGTTTTCCTGGTAACCAGTCAAATATAGAGGCATAAGATGTTTGCCGATTACACTATACAGCAAATGAAGTTTCCCATGAAATATTAAGGGAATAGAGTCTTTCCTATCAAAACATAGGTCGAGGTTTTCTTCTTCACATTCATAGAAGAAACACAGGTTCGCCTTCATTTGTTTTGAAGCAGGCTTGCGCGGCTTCAAAATGGAGGGTTGGCGGAGGGCGGCACCCCCCCCCCCCATTCGCAAACACTATGCTCGCCTAATGGTTTTGGGGGACACACCCCCCCCCCCCCCCACCTCCGATTTGTAAGCACAATGCTCGCCTGATTGCCAACATAATTTATGCCAGCATGATGGGTTCGCAAGTATTCGTATGGTTTTCCGAAGAATGGTGAATGATGAGGTGAGATTGTTTGTAGTAAGCTTTGCGTGTGTAAAAACAGAAGGATGAGGGAAGGGGGAGCCCCGCCTTTTGCAGAGACAGGATTCATACTAGCATATGCTTAGAAGCGAGCTGGCACAGTTTAAAAGAGCGGGGGGGGGGGGGGGGAATTGGGGGAGGCGCAGGCCCCCCCCCCCCCCCATTTGCAAACACGATGCTCGCATGATGGGCTGTGGAAAGGATTCAGAAGCTTGCGTGGGGAGTTTGGGGGGGAGGGGGGTGGGTGGGGGGGCGCGGGGAATTGTGCAAAACGAATAACCTGAAATGGGCAGGAATTCTTTGCTGCGCTGCGGGTGCGGGGGCCGACTTGCGCGCCAGGTCACTCACTCAGCGGGGCGAGTCCCCGCAAAAGACACTCACAGCGAAAAAAGACACCCAGGACGAAAAAACACACGGGTCCTCTTGGCCTCTCACAAACCTCCTTCGAACTCAGACCTTTTAGTCTCTGCATGAGAGCGACTTACGCCTGGTTTGTTGCAAGCTTGCGGCGACTGCCTTCTGCGCACACTGGGCGTAGTTCTCAGCGCGCCTGCAATATGCTGCTCACACGATATGCCGTTCAGCGACCATCTCATGTGTTCAGGGTCAGCAAAGCTACAAACCCCAACCCAAGCTCGAGCCATGTGCCCACAGCCTGGCTTTGTAGTCCGGAGTCTGCTTGTACCTCAAGGTTTGGACATGCTCTGCACCCTGAAAAAACGGCCATGTGCAACAGATGAGTGAACGCAATCCCAATGCAGACCGGAATAGGGAGCTTCAGTTCTCGCATTTGTCATTGTTCCTGTGATCCTAGCTCACTCTTGCTCCAGGGCCGCCACTCTCGGTATGGCACGCTGCGCCACTCCTTCCAAAACCCCTCAACCTGCCCTAGCCCCGGACACCTGAACTCCAAACCCCCCACACCCCCTAAACCCCATACGAGTCTCCGCCCAAACCTCCCTAAACCTCCTTGAGATCCCTTAAACCCCACCCCCCCCCCCCCCCCCCCCCCTCTGAAGCTCCCAAATTGTCGAAACCCACAAAACTTTCGGGCTTGCCGGCTCCTCGGGCGGCTCGGGGTTGAGATCGAAGATCGGTGACACTTCGAAGACCACGGGCCCTCATCTCAGGGCTTTGTGGGTGCTGGGAAGATTTGAAGTCTGGGTTTGGGCTCGGATTGCGGTTTGGGTTGCTTTCGGTGCTTCATCAGATCTGCGGCGTTCTTCACAGGGTCCCTGGGCCAAACATGCTGCCAACTTCTCGGCAACATGCATTTGCACAAGC